TTTCAACTTTTCCGTCACTTCGTTTCATTTTTTTCAAATTTCTAATTTTAATATGGAACTAAACACAGTCTAAAATGTCTGAGAACTATACAAATGGTTTAGTAGTAGTACCAACTCGTGTACTATTTCCAGTTGAACTAGAACGTACGGGTATCAATGCCGTTCAGAATAAATACTAGTAGTGGCAATAATTCAAGGACAACACGTATTAAGGTCTGGTTTAGTTTCAAAATTTTTCTTCAACTTTTAACTTTTCCATCAATCAAAACTTTCTTATACACGTAAATTTTCAACTTTTCCGTCACATCGTTTTAATTTTAACCAAACTTTTAATTTTAGTGTGAATTAAACACACCCTAATTTGAAAATTGCGAGCCGGCCAGCCGATCCGGTGACGACGTGAAGCTTTAATTAGCCTCGCGTCAGCTGATCTCGTCATAAGCCCACCCTCAAGTCCAACTCATAATTGAAATTGTGCAAGTACAGTTGCTGCGTACATACTCCCTCCGTCCTTAAAAAAATCAAATACTGGATTTCCGTGCCAACGTTTGACTATCCGTCTTATAAATTTTTTTATAAATAGTATTTTCATTGTTGTTAAATGATAAAATATGATTAATACTTTATGCGTGACTTATCTTTTTAATTTTTTTCATAATTTTTTCAAATAAAACGGCCGGTCAAACGTTGGACACGGAAACCAGGGTTTGTTTTTTTAGACGGAGAGAGTATACTGCAGGTACATGCCTTAGTCACGTTAGGTGACAAATATAATCTCTCCCAACAACCGTACTGCTACGCGTGGCTAGCGAATGTGCAGTAAAACTCCTATAACATCTTTCGTTACTACTAGTACACTCTAGTAATATTGCTTTCTTACATGAACACATGTATATATGGTGGCATCTGGTAGATAACATTTCATAGTTTAATTTAACTTTTATCTAAACAAAAGGTTTATTATTGTCCGATCGCTACCATATGAGAGATGACCTATTTTTTTTCACTAGAGATGAATCTCATACACCGAAGAACATAACTACGACATGGCACCCTTGGATATTTGCCAAACCTTTTTTGTCATGGTATTTGAGCACTACTACAAAACCCTCGTAGCTACCGACTTATAGGAGTCCAGACTTTTCATTTTTTTTAGTTTCTAAGTTACAGATCAGGGGATTAATTAGTGTGGGGTTGATCTTGATATGTTGATTTGGGGGATTGTTGATCCTGTATGTTCTTGATCTGTTGATGTGGATTCTTGATCCAATGTTGGGAAACAGGTTCAAACTGATCAAAGCATCGAGCTGGCGTTTCTTTTTTCCTACCACTGGCACCAATAAGTCTAGGGTATTGCTGCCAGATGATATGTGCCGGCTGTAAATTCAGCATGTATGCCGGGTTTGCAACTGGCACCTAACAGATGTTTTGCAGTAGTGGAGCCTAACTAGGATGATATTTTGTTTAGTGCTTTAGTGTATTTGAGAGGTGCTACAAGCTACAAACTTTGTAGTGTAAAGCGGGGTATATATTCTTACACAGACGTAGGATTACAAATTTTCAAACTTAGACGCAACACATAATAACTGATACAGAGTACCGAAACACCAACCGGCCTATCAATCTTGGTCCAAATGGAACCGGCAGTACAAAAATCACTGCGAATTAAAATAACTGGCAGTAATATTCAATACCGGTTCTTAAGGTGAACTAATGGCAAAAATTGCGAGATGGCGGTCATAGTTTTAGAACCACATTAAGTGTTGGCCTCACATCCGTTGATCTGGTTAAGTCCTGCACTAACACCCGATTCTCTCGATATCTCTCCATTCCCCCTCTCTCTTTCATCCCCACTCATATATGGCTTCCCACAATGACCTCCAAGATCGATCTCCCCCAATGACGGTATGAGGCAGATCATTTATTTCATGATGGTACCTGAAGACGCCACCCATAACCCGCTTCATGACGATGTTGCCATTTTCATCGCTAGAAATGTTTACTGCTTTCCTGACGAATTCCCTGATGATGATGGTACCTTACAGCCCTCTCGGCTGTTGTGGAGATCACCTCAAGACATCACGTAAATTAAAGCCGGCTCCAAGCGATGCCATCCACTCTTGCTCCAGCACCGTCTACTCCTTGTCTGACACAATCCATACTCCTCTTTCGATAACAGAGAACCAGGTATGACAACAAAAACACAGGCAAGAAAGCCAGGACAACTGGATCAGGCCCTCACATTGGCAATAGTGGCTTCTCATCTTCCTAAACCCGGGCAACTCCTCCACGGGCCACATCTAGCTTAAGGTTGTGACAGGGGGAGACTGAGGAGGCGAGTCATGACAACAATGATGGGTCTGGAGTTTAAGGCAATGGCGAGGCATGCTAGCACAGTTGGGTTGGATTTGAGCCGAGATGCGTATGATATTGTTTTTAAGATTTTTTGTGTTGTTTTCTATTGATTTATCCTCGATGTGTTCTTGCCATCAAATTTTCTTAAACATCAACTTGCTTATGTGTGAATTTTTTTTTCTTACTGCAGTCATTCCCCAAATCAGTATGCAAGTGTGTATTCAAGTTTGTGAAATGCAAATCATCTATATTTTTTATTCTATGTAAATTTCACAGAACAACGGATATTTTCACCAAACTAATACAAAACAACAGATTTAAGATGGTGTATCACAAAGCTACAGATTTAGCATTAAATTTATCATGGAACTACTGTTTATGTACCCATTTAATCACAAATCTACAACGTTTATGACTCTGACATAATAGTAGCACTAGAGATTTAAACTCTAAAACCTGTAGTTTTGTTATATATAACTCTATTATTACATATGTAGCTTTGGCTTACCCACCTTAAATTCGTAGTTGCATAGTAAATTTGGTGTTAAATATGTAATTTTGGTAAACATCACTTTAAATCTATATTTTTAAAATAATTTGATCAATTAAAGTAGCTGAATGATTATGAAATTTACTCTTTAAGGAACTAGCACAGTAGTAATTATCTCGATCGGTCGTTGAATGTGCCTTAGTTTGAAAAGCAACAACTGGTTTGTGGATAGGTGGTATTTGTATTAAGGAACCTACAGTGGTATTTATCACAATCGGTCGTTAAACGTGTCGTAGGCTCTCCGGACCTTCCATTATAATTGAGAGATGAAATGTATAATTCAAGTCATCAAACAAGTATAATGAAATATCCGACGCCTCGAGAGAGGAATATTGGAGACATTGCCGGGCCTTTAGCCTGCCAGTCAACTTCAGCCTGAGATGTGCCCGTCAAACCACTCGAAGGCGGTGACCAGATGTGTTACACATTCAGGAGACTTGACAAAAATGGCTAAAGATCTACAACATCTCAAATATTCTTAACTCATACTCATGTGAATCTAGTTCCCAGGATGTGCACTAGATTCACACTTTCATCTCAAGCATGATTATACATAGCAAACACAAATAAGATGAAAGCGATTATAAACTACATCTACTTTAGTTACATTGGCCAATTGGCCAAATAAATATATAGAACAGTGGAAGCTTGTCTACCCAATCCACAAGCACACCGACTAGGGGTTTACCCCATTAAGTTCAAGTCCTAGAAGAAGCAGTCGATTACCCGCAACAAAGCTTTTCCAAAATTCATGATTTAGCCTTACACCAGCACGATACGTGTTACTCCATCCTAAGCCATACACGTTATATGACCTAGAACCGTTAAGTGGCGGGCCCACGCCTTAAACTTAACGCCGTGGTGGCGGACACAACGGGAACCCACCACGTGGCACAATACCGTTGTATTGGACACGCTTAGTCACCTAAACTACCACTTCGGGGTAAATAGGAAACTCCTCTGAATTATACGAACTCATACACACCGGCCTACCAGAATGTAAGGCTAAACCATAAATAATTTACTAAGCTTGGGCTATCCCATACTAGCACATGTGGTTGCACTGTATACGAAATGAACTGACATTGAGTGAAGTCCTTAGGTCGGTTTGGGCACACTCTCCCCCTATCGGTACACAACTAATCACCATATGTGCACCACTTGAGGCCCAAACCTAAAATCCATGTTTTCCATCATTTTATTTATCAAAATCACAAGTATTAAAGTTCTGTCCAGATTATTTCAAAATCAATTTTTCATATTTGTAATGAGCCCATAATGACAAGGAAGACCATTCTAAGCATGGCTAAGCATTATAGTAACCTAGTGACTCCAAAATTCATATATAAAGTGGTGTAGTCATATTGTTCCTAAGGTTAGGAATGAGGGATATGGATATATGTGGGGTTAAGGTGATAATGCAAATAATAGGAGTTTGTCTAACAAGTTTAACACAATTTTAATTTGTTAATGCACAATCGACATGCAGGATTTGCAAACATTTTCAATAACCTCCAAAACATAGGTTCAAAGTGATCAAAGAGAGGGAGGTGGGACTTGCCTTGAATCAGGAAAATGTCAGCACCTAAATCACTTCTTCACCGTTTAAGCAATCATCTATACAAAGTACACGTTATGCAATTAAACACCGAAATATGCGAAAAATCCAAAATGCTCTAAAATGGATGATTTGTGCACAGTGAATAGGTACTGGTCTAAAATTAATTTAGGTGAAAGAATTTCTATTTTATCTCATTTTATTTGGGAGTTATGAATTTTAGAAGTTTCGTCGGTATAGTGTAGGATTTACTTAGTTACTGTTGTGAAATGCTGTTGTAAGGTAATTCTTATTAAGTTTATGTTTGCTGGGGTGAAGATATGTGTTTTCTAACACTAACACATTTGGTTTCATAATTTTTAGAGTTAATATGAATTCTTTATGTATTTTACAAGTTATAACGTGTTATAGGTGTATAGTGTTCTATAGGTTCATGGCTTTAGAGGTTTAGGTCTAGAACTTGCCTCATCTAGCTAGTGATGTATAAAATGAGTATTTTAGTTAACTAATCTAACCTTAGTTCATAGGCTTATGGTCTTTATTATCATGGTTCATATTTTATAAACTAGGGGAGCTCTAGTCCATGTTAGCAATTTATTATATCAACCTAGAAATTATTATATGAGCTAAGTGCCTTAAGTTTTGGTGGATGGGAATGGAACTATGCATTCACTGGTCTAACAAGTTTTATTTGAGTTTCATTATAGCTAGAGTGTATTTCTATATACATTTATATATATACATATTGCTCAATCGATACTATGTGATTAGCACCTATCCTATAAATTTAAAGTTTAGAGCTATAACCTGTACAGAAGGTTCCATATTTTATTTTACTATGTTGAAGCCCACTGTTTGCTGGTTCTATAGATATTTGGTTCACTTCATTTAGACTAAAGATGAATTTTCTACAAATTTTACAATTTAAGGTTGCTCTATGATGGTTATTACTTACATAAGTATTTAGAGGCTTTTATCATACAGTAAGTATATAATTTTATTTTATAATTTGGAAGTATATGTTTTGGTGATTCTACAGAACTTGGGTTTACTAAAAAAAGATCTAAGATGAATTTTATATGAACTTCTAAAATTCAGCTTATCTAAAACTAGTCATTTAAAGGTAATAGTTTTAGAGGCATTTGATGTATAGTATGTATGCTATTTCATTTTGCTTTATAGGAGAACATAAGTTGGTGGATCTGTAGAAACTGAGTTTGCTCCAAAATGAGTTGAAATGAATTCTGTATGCATTTTATAAATTTTGTGCGTGCTTTATGTGTGATTTAACTTGGATAAATTTTAGAGGCTAAATTTGTACTGTGAGTGGAAGTTTTTATTCCATAACATCAAAGCTCCCAATTTGGTGAGTTCACAGAAATTTGAATCATCTTAAAATGAGCTATATTTAATTTTATATGGATTTTACAAGTTTTAGGTACTTTCCTTTTATAATTTCAGATTTTTGTTTCCAAGGGGTCCACTGTCAGTGAAAGATCAATATACAAAAAGATCCCTGAGGTTTCTAAGAATCAACCCGCAGACCTAGGCTCATATGTCAGTGAGTTGAAAAGTTGCACATTAAACCTTATAGTTGTTTAAATTCTCGAAACAAGGTCCCTGACTTCTTTTCTCACGCAGAGAGGCAGAACAGCCATGGCTGAGCTCAATCTCGAGCTCACCGGCGACAAACGATGGCTCGTTTGAGGGTGCGACCAAAAGACAAAATGAAGATCATGCTATTGCGATTCCATTCCTCTACTTTTCTCGGTCAGTGGACATCGGAGTAACGCCGGCGGCGAGTCCGAAAGGAGGATGTTTTCGGGTGGTGATGCATGTGCTTCTACAATCATGTATTGGTTAATTGGGTGCATGCATGTATGTTCTATAGGCTGAAGGGTGCTCACCGAGATGGTAGACATGGCTGGGGTAGCTAGGTTTATGACGGTGGCTCGTGTAACGGCTCGGCGGCGGCAAGAACCTCCGGGTGAACGGCGATGGCTCAATCAGCTCCAAGAACTATCATGCATGTGTGTCCATGAGGTTAGAGAGGCCCCAGAGATGGTACTGATGCATGGAATTGGGTTGGTACTCACCGGAGGGGGTGGATTCGGCAACGGCGACGGTGACCGGAGGTGGAGAAGACGGTGGACGATCTCCACACTCGTAGCACCATCCTTCGAGATTATTGAGGGGAAATGGAGAGGAGGTCGAGGCGAAGACGCTGGCGCGACAGCTTGGCCCGGCTTGGTCCAGATAAGCGGGAACGGCGATGATGTCGCTGCGGCGGTGCACAGAGCGCGCTCTAGAGCGACCATGACATGGCGGCGTTCCCGCTGCTGTAGAAGATGAAATGGAATGGGATCAAAACCAAAGTTGTTCGTCATGGTGAGATGAGAATGGAACGAGTATGAGTTAGAGATGAAGAGGGCTCGACGACGGTTGGCGATGTCCCTCTTCTTGGCGGCCGGCGACGAAAGAGAGGTGGAGAGGGAGAGCTGGAGCTTCCTCCCTCGGTTGGATCGGCACTGGGATGGTGGTGAAGAATGGCGACGCAGCTGGGTGGAGGTGAAGCCTCGGTTCGGCGCTGCCACGTCGAGGCCACGCGTCGTACACAGCCGGCGCCAATCTCTCTCTCTCGGCTGTGTCTGGTCGGCTGGAAGATTTGCACAGGGTGAGGACGAGCCAGAGTGGCTGCCAAGTGGGTCCAGGTCATGGCAAACTAAGCTAGGGTGAGAGGGTTGGGCAGAAACGTGGGTGAACAAAAGGTTTGAATGATTTTAATGATTTTAAGGATTATTTCTCTCTCCCACTTTAGTATTTCAATTATTTAATTTGTGGGTAGAATAATTTAGTGTGGATTTTTCTGAAGGTAGATGAAGATACCTAGATTCCATTTTCTTTGGTTGCACTCAAAAATTATGGATAGATTACTCACAGAAATTAGAGGAATATGGGTTCTTTGGAAAATAGTTCGAATTTTTAGGAGACATAAAAAGAGAAGATAAATTCTGGAAAAATTATTTTTATTCATTATAAATGACCTAGTATTTGAATAAATTATTTTACTTATACACTTTTATGCAGTTAAATGCACTTTTAGACAAAGTATGGTTTTAGCCGAGTAAGAACTACAGTTAATCTAGTTTTTATTAGTTTGACTGATTTATTTGAGGTACCAAATTTAGTTATTAAATCATACCAAAATTACAGTGAGTTGCATGTGTTGATTAGAGCCTACATGAATTTTCCCATGATTTTATCTTGCACGAATTATTTTAGATAATTCGCAAGACTTATATCTTATAAATGCTTCCCTTTCCTAAATGCATGTAAATGTTTATAAAAGTTATATTTGGACTCTCATTAACCTGAGGTGATGTTGATATGTTAGAATTACAATTTACATTACACAGGTCATAAGCTCCTTACCTATTATGCATAAGTTTACATTAGTATTAAATTAAGAGAATGCTTATAGAGATGATTAAGATAGAATATACCCTATATGATATAATTTATTTGGTCACTTCCATGTTCATGACTAGTCTTCAGATGGATGACCGAAATAGTTTTGTGGGGCTTGACATTGGCCTTGTTGATATATTTTAAGGTGTATGGTTTCTATTTTAACTTCCTCTAGCTAGCACTAGGCCCTAATGGTTTAGTTGTTTATCTAGATCTTAGTTAATATTCATGAGACCTATTATGAAATGCAAATCGAAAATCCAAATGCAATCCGAATCCAAATGCATATGAAGGACTCAAGTCAAACATGTCTATGAGAGTATGCATGCTTACACATAAATTTATATTTTTGTCCTAGGTTAGAGATGCAAAGGTTTTTAATTTGTTCTAAAATTTTATCATGCAAGAGTTGGATCAACTCCACCTAGGTTTAAAATGGAAATTTTTGGTTTACAAAATTGAAGAACTTCCCTTTCAACTAGTTTTGATGGAAATTCCTTAATCCTAGAATTCAGGTATGTTACAAAACGTGCCCTAGTTTTAAAAGCAACAACAGGTTTGTGAACAGGTGGTATTTGTATGGTGATTAATTTACTACTTGTGTAAAACTTTTTGACAGTCACCAAGCTACGGCCCAGTACTACTAGAAGCCAGTACAAAACGTTTAATATTCAGCACATGGGTAGCTAAGGCTTTGCATCATTGCATGAAATGGCCGGGAGTTACAATAGTGAAGATAAGATGGTACACTAGTAGCTTATTAAGTACCATGCAATTAATCCACATGGATGAATCATTTGTCCTTGTCCCACTAAACAAACAATACATACATAAGAAATATTAACAATAATAATCTAATGAAGATAAATAATCACAGTATATCATGCAGATGCAGCTGGGACGTGATCCTGGTTGCGCCTATAAATAGGCACCTCACTCTCCCAACATCTGCATAGACGAGTGGAAGAAAGTAGTACCGTCTCTTAGCCTCTTGCTTTGCTAATCTCCTCGACTAAATCTCGATGAAAAGAAGCTAGAAAACATGAAAGGTGTGAAGAGTTTGATCATGTGTGTGCTGGTGCTAGGCTTAGTCCTGCAGCAAGAGACGATCAAGGTGGGAGCAAAGAGCTGCTGCCCAACCACCACGGCAAGAAACATCTATAATGCATGCCGTTTTGCGCATGGCACAAGGGAAAGATGTTCTAAACTCTCTGGCTGTAAAATTGTTGATGGGAAATGCAAGCCACCTTACATTCACCACACCCTTCACCCTGAGTCTGGTAAATTAAAACATATTAACTTCCTTTTCTCTTTATTTGTTGGCTGTTGGTTTCATAATTCATATATGCAGCTCAATCAACCTTGTGTGCAAGAGATTAGAAATTAGTACTTTACTGAAATATATATGAAAATGCATGATTTTGCAGAGGAATTGGATGTACTTGACTTCTGTATGCTGGGATGTACTTCATCCGTGTGCAGCAACATAAACACTTGTAAGCTAGAAACTAGAACATGAAACCAAATTACCATTTTTCAACATATAGGACAAGAATCATCGGTTTGCTGTAGCTAATGTATACAATCATTTTTTCCGTTGCAGTTGCTGGCAACGAAGAAGGGAACGGTGCTGTGGAACGTTGCAACGAAGCATGCTACCACTTCTGCAACAAGGAAGCTGATATTGTCACTATCGTTTCCTAAACAACTGCATCATGCAAGCATAAGGGACTTGAATTCGCACTTTGAATCCCCTGCAAGGCTATATATGCTGCCCTGGAGTAGTCATAAATAAGTTGGATATCATGATATCCAAACCAGTGTGCCGGCCATCTCTCATGTTTGTTTACGACACTTTGTATTTCTAATAAGCTTATAAGCCATGATATATAATCGCATTCTACCATCTTCTATTAAGGATGCATGTGAGGATATGCAGAGTGATGACACCTTTGCTAATAAATAAATATAATCGAGTTTCTAGTTGCATCACATATCATTTCTAACATTCGCTCATCAAGAAACCAAAAATATAAGCATATTTACGAGCATTTCGTCCTAAGCCCGCATGCAACAACTAACGTGTTAAATATTTTCTTCCAAACGAGAGGCATTTTAACATGAACAAAAAGAACTTCAGTCTTGGAGTCAGTTGCACATCTAGGATTTTAGATTTGATTGTCCTATTTATATATTTTTTTGAATGATGTAAATATAACAAGGTAATAGAATTACATGTTGATCAAAGATATACCATAATAGATTAATAAGAGAAATTTTCTCTTCTCAAAAAAATATTTTTACATACATATCTTATCTTCTAAAGCCGGCGGAACCGCCTTAAATTGAGTGGTACACGTGGCGAAGTTTACGATCAATTTAGCACGGCTCTCATGCATTAATCGTCGTGCCTGGTTTGGCGTCTCGACCAATCCGGAGTTCTGAACAGCACGCAAAAAAGAAAAACAAAAAGAAAAAGAAAGAAAGGAAAATAGACCTTTGGTGCAGATGCTCTTGTTTGCCACGAAGCTGGGCTGTACAGCCCAATTACAGGCGTTTGGGCCACGAATAAAAGGAGAAAAGGAAAAAATAAGCAAGAAGAAAAGTATCTTCATAAATCGTCAGACAAATTCAATATACTATATACTATGATCGAAACAAATATCCTAGCCACATTGATATCGTATATTACTATAATAAAATATTAGTTAGAGAAAACTAAATGTACTCCCACCAACAAAAAATACAACAAATATTTAATTTTCTTTGTTGGGATAAAGCTTTGATATTCAATAACTATTCTATGCGGATATAATTGTTGTGACACAAATTGATGTCATAATATCCATATTCACTACACCACAACACTAAAAAGAAGACAGTCGTCTGTCGGTAGAAAAAAATTTAGATGTCACTTTGTCTGTCGGAAAATATCCTGTCACACAGTCTGTTGGTAAAAATAATTTTTTTAACGCACTGTCTGTCGGTAAAGATTAGTGGCAAGTTGTCTGCCACTAATTGAACTGTCCCGTCCAATTGTCTGTCGCTATATCTGTAGATGCCCAGGCGAAAAAAAAGGCGCGGCCCAAATGTATCGGCGGGAGAAACGAGCGCTAAACAAAAAAGGAATGGCGCGGAACAAAATTTTCAGCACCAAAACTCCAAACAAACAGACCTCTCTTCTCTCTCACACGCTCTCTCTCAGAAACCTGAAAAAATCCCCACTCCAAGACCTAGCAGGTAGCAGCACCGCCTCCGCCTCCGCCTCATCTCCTCCCCCAACCAGCAGCGCCGCCGCCGCTTCCTCTCCAACCAGCAGCGCCACCACCTCCTCCTGTCCCCTCCTCCATCTCCCCCACATCATCCACGATGTATTGCCCCCGGTGGTTCATCCATGTGGCCCATCCCACATGAATCCACCATCTCCACGCCCCCAAGGTGGTTCCTGCAGGGAGGTCGCATTTGGCTGCGATTCATCACCAAGAGCACGACCTCATCGCTCCTAGGGAGCCACCTGCATCTGTGCTCACCAGATCTGCTTCACCTGAGGTTCTGGGCACCGTCGTCCCTTCTTGAAGCTCAAGACGACGTTTCTTTGTCCACTGCAATCAACAACACAAGGTCAAGCTTGTCCCCCCATTCCCTGCTTCCTCTTCCCCTTCCCTCCTAATGTTTCTTCCCCCTTATCTTAACTTTATTCCCCAGGCAGATGTGGTGATGGAGCAGAGTTCATTGTTGTTTGTTCTGTTTTATGTTCAGTCATGTGCTAAGATTTTTAATTTGACTACTGGGATAGAAATGATAGATGATGGTTCTTACTGTCTTTGTAAAAGGAATATTTTTCCAATTGGTTGTTGTCCCATCCCTTCTGAGATGTTACTACTCATGTGTGCTTATTTCACCCTGGCATAACCAATTTTCTACCTTTTCCATTGCAGATCTATCTTCAGTAGTTATGGTGGAATTTGCTTAATTCTTGTCTACTTGACCTCCCTGACATATTTAGCTAGGTATGGAAGTGGAACTCCTTCTCTGTTTATTAGTTTATGACTAGGGGGCTCCTCTAATTATGTAAGTAAAGCAGCAGACCATCAAATGCGAGCATCCATTCTTTGTCTGGATTTAGGTGTATAGCTGCCTTTTTATTTGTGCTAACAATTAACAAAATTTACCTTAAGTGATATGGTATCTAACTAACCCATTGTACTGCATATAAACAGGGTGACTACTTGATTTTGTTTATGGTATTTCATCTGAAAATACAAATGTTCAGTGGCTTAAGTAAAAAGAAATACAGATGCTCTTTTCTGAACCTGAGGATTGTCACTCAGATTATTTAATTTTTCAATTTGCATTGCACAAGAGCAAAATATATCGCAGAGGTTGCATTTAAAATTTTGTATTTATTATCCAAAAATGTAGAAGGTCTTGCTGAGTAATCGGAGACACCAACAAGGTTGGCAGCAAACCAGAACAAATTAACAAGCAAACGCACAACTAAAAGGTACATATGTGTTTCCCTTGCTCTTTGACATCAGTTTTTCTTACTTCTATGTGATTTACTAACTACTTTTACATACTTTAGTTTTTTTTTACACGATGTTTTGCCTTTTGATTGTATGACTGGAATGCTTGTTGAGCTTGAGAGCTATGTTAACCATTTGTGTTTTTGCAGTATCATAACGAATATTTGCATTTTATATTCAGACATTTAGTATTTCATTATAAGAGGCAAGCATGGATAAGGGATGGATGGATCTGCCTAGGTACAAACACACAATTACTAGCATGGAATTGTTTAGCCTCACTATCTTCATTTGTCCAAACTCTAATAATATAGTATTTCAGGAGCACAACTGAGTACAGACGTGGTGTCAATAACTTCATAGAATTTGCTTTTACTCATTCAGCAAAAGGAAATAAAATACTGTGTCCTTGCAAGAAGTGTGTTAATTGTTCATGGTTGGAAGCAAACATTGTAATTGAACACCTGATATGTGATGGATTTAAGCATGGGTACCGGCTGTGGATTTTTCATGGGGAAGCATCATCTTCTGCACATTGCACTACACATGAACAAGTTCAAGTAGAACAGAGGGCAGCTGATCGTGATGAAATTCCTGAAATGCTTAGAGATATGGCATATGGTTTAGATCAAATGGGGGAGGGGGGTGCTGCTGATGGCAGTTCAGGGGATGCCAATAATGATGCCGATGATTTTTATAGATTAGTAGATGATGCAAGTCAGGAGCTGTACCCTGGTTGCAAGACCTTCTCTAAACTAAATTTCTTAGTCCGTTTGCTGCATACAAAATTTCTAGGAGGATGGAGTGATAAAAGCTTTGACATGCTACTGGACTTACTTAGAGAGGCATTTCCTGAAGGTGCAGCACTACCTAAAAATTTTTATGAAGCAAAGAAGACGGTTAAATCTCTAGGTCTTGGCTACATTAACATTCATGCTTGTGAAAATGATTGCATATTATTTTGGAAACAGTATGAAAATTATACTTCCTGCCCAAAATGTAATACTTCTCGATGGAAGATGGAAAGAAAGAGTCTTGATGGAAAACGTTTCCACAAAGTTCCTAGAAAAGTTCTTAGGTATTTCCCAATTAAGGAAAGACTTCAAAGACTATACATTAACCCAGAGATGGCCAAAAATATGAGGTGGCATGACGAAGGACGTACAAAAGATGGATTGCTTAGACATCCAGCAGATTCTCCAGCTTGGAAACACTTGGACACAGTCCATCCTACCTTTGGTAATGAAAGTCGTAATATAAGATTAGCGTTAGCTACTGATGGCTTCAATCCCTTCAGATCCTTGAATTCTACCCATAGTACTTGGCCTGTTATTGCAATTCCATACAATGTGCCACCCTGGATGTGTATGAAACAACCTAATTTCATCCTATCACTATTAATTCCTGGTCCAACTGCCCCTGGTAATGATATGGATGTCTACATGGAACCATTAATAGATGATTTGGAATCTCTTTGGCGTGAAGGCATTAGGACTTATGATGCTTCTAAGGGTGAATTTTTCCAACTGCGTGCTGCAGTATTAACCACCATATCAGACTATCCCGGCTTATGATATTTTCATGGATGCACAACTTCAGGTGAAGTTGCTTGCACTGATTGCCACATAGAAACCGGTTATACAAGGCTATCAAAGGGCAGCAAGAGTTCTTACATGGCACATCGCAGGTTTTTAGATGCTGATCATAGATTTAGATCAGATACAAAATCATTTGATGGCACAACAGAATTTAGACCAGCACCTTCCCCTCTTTCTTGTGAGGATGTTTTGAGGCAGACAGAACATTTAAATGTAGTTTAAATTTTGGTGTGATTGAGGATGGCAGTCATTTTAGAAAAGATTTAGGTGGTTCTATTGTTGACCTAAGTGAGAAAGGGAAGTAAGTGTCATTTGTTATTTACTATATGGTACTGCTGCTACATGTATATTCATAATGACGTATACTCATAATTATGCTTTTCTATCACCTAGATAATATATCAATAAAGTAATTATTAGTCAAAATCTTGTCCTAGAGTACAAAAAATTGAATCAAATTTTGTAATCCGCACAAAGATTTTCTTAGAGTATATACTTTTTCTATCATTACAATTTCTAAGTAATCATATGCAAAACTTTTAGGTTTTATGAAATCATCGCAATTTTCCGGAAAAATACCATTTTCTTTTTTTAATAGAATCAACAGTGTCAAAGTTAAATAATGAAGGCTGTGTTAAGCCGGAGGAAGGTGAGGATGAGGCCAAGTCATCATGCCCCTTATGCCCTGAGCGACACACGTGCTACAATGGGCGGGACAAAGGGTCGCGATCTCGCAAGGGTGAGCTAACTCCAAAAACTCGTCCTCAGTTCGGATTGCAGGCTGCAACTCGCCTGCATGAAGCAGGAATCGCTAGTAATCGCAGGTCAGCCATACGGCGGTGAATCCGTTCCCGGGCCATGTACACACCGCCCATCACACTATAGGAGCTGGCCATGTTTGAAGTCATTACCCTTAACCGTAAGGAGGGGGATGCCTAAGGCTAGGCTTGCGACTGGAGTGAAGTCGTAACAAGGTAGCCGTACTGGAAGGTGCGGCTGGATCACCTCCTTTTCAGGGAGAGCTAATGCTTATGCTTATTGGGTATTTTGGTTTGACACTGCTTCACGCCCAAAAACAAGGCAGCTACGTCTGAGCTAAACTTGGATATGGAAGTCTTCTTTCGTTTAGGGTGAAGTAAGACCAAGCTCATGAGCTTATTATCCTAGGTCGGAACAGATAAGTTGATAGTGATAGGATCCCCTTTTTGACATCCCCATGGCCCCCCTCCCCCCCCCTCGGTGTGGTGTGGCGCCATGGGGATGTCAAAAGGAAAGGGATGAAGTTTTTCTCGCTTTTGGCGTAGCAGGCCTCCCAAAGGGAGGCCCACGCGATGGGCTATTAGCTCAGTGGTAGAGCGTGCCCCTGATAATTGCGTCGTTGTGCCTGGGCTGTGAGGGCTCTCAGCCACATGGATAGTTCAATGTGCTCATCAGCGCCTGACCCGAAGATGTGGATCATCCAAGGCACATTAGCATGGCGTACTCCTCCCGTTTGAATCGGAGTTGAAACCAAACAAACTTCTCCTCAGGAGGATAGATGGGCGATTTAGGTGAGATCACATGTAGATCTAACTTTCTATTCACTCGTGGGATCCGGGCGGTCCGGGGAGGGGGGGCACTACGGCTCCTCTCTTCTCGAGAATCCAGACATCCCTTATCAGTGTATGGAGAGCTATCGCTCGAGCACAGGTTGAGGTTCGTCCTCAATGGGAAAATGGACCACCTAATAACGCATCTTCACAGACCAAGAACTACGAGATCACCTGTAACGCCCCGATTTTCATTCGGGATTAAAAATCATTAAATAATGCGTTTTCTAGAAATTAAATAAAAGTTAATCAATTTAATCAAGTGAATTATTGGGAGAACTAAAACTTTCCCTTAAAAATCATTGGCCGAGAATATTTTGTAATATTCTTTGTGCCCTAAAACACTTTCCGGATTTTTCCGTGAATTTTCGGAGCTCAAGAAGTAATTTTAATGACATAAAGTTCATTGAATCAATTAAATAAAATGAAAAATGAATTAAAAACCTCCTCTCTCCCTTTTGGGCCGCTCCCGGCCCAATCCCCCTTTCCCTCCCGCGGCCCACGCCCCTCTCTCCCTTCCTCGGCCAGCCTCCCCTCTCCTCTCTTGGGCCGTCGGCCCGTTTCCCCTTCCCCTCGCGCAAAGTCTAACTAACCCCCTGGGTTCTCCTCCCTCTCTCCCTCCCCGACAGGTGGACCCGGCGACCCCACCCGTCAGGCCCTCCTCCTACCTTCGGCTTCCCAGGCCGAAGCCGCCATGGCCGGCGGTTGCCGCCCACGTCCCGCCAAATCTGGCGCCCTCCCGCTCGCGCCCTCGCCCCCAAACCGCATAAAATCGGTTCCCCTCCACCTCCTCCACCAAATCCCCCACTTCTCCCCAATTTTTGGCGCCAAATCGAGCCCCCACTTCACCCACGATGTCGCCCATGTCGCCGGCCGTTGCCGCTTCAAATCCGCCACGTCCGGCCACGATTTCTCCTCCCCGAGCCTATAAAAAGCACCCTCGTGCTCTCCTCTTCCGTTTCCCCCTCCTCCCCGAGCTCCTCATGCCGTCTCCCGTGCTCCCCGCTCGAGCCCGCGCTCCGCCGCTTTCCGGTGAGCTCCGGCTACACGCCGCCGTCGCCGTAGCCACCGCCGCGCCGAGCCGCTTGCACCGCCGGCTTCGCCATGCCTCGCTGCACACCGGCCACCGCTCCATTTGCACAAACCTCTGCCGAAACTCCCCTTCCACCGTGCACCCGAGCCGCCACCACCTTAATCCGCCTCCAGCCGCTTGTCGTCGCCGCCTGAGCCGCTCCCGCGCCCTGCCACCACCGCAGTCGGCTTCGCTGCCCCGCGGACAAGCCTAGTCACCACGCCGCTCCCCCATTCCACCCTCAAGCTACCCTCTCCACGGTGAACCCGAGCCACCGTCGCCATTGCCGCCTCCGGCCGCCAATCGCCGCCACTCCCGTCCGTCCCCCGCTTTGCCGTCGCCTCCCTCGGCTCCGCAAGGACGAGAAGGTCCTCGGCCACCGCTCCCCGTCGCCCGAATCCTGCCGGAACTCCACCTCCATCGCACACCGGTGAGCACCCGTCGCTTTTCTTGCCTCCGGCCGGCGATTCACGTCGTCGGGAGTCCCCTCTTCCCCTCCTAATTCCTCAAATCGCTTCCCCAGGTATCGTCGACCCTCGGCCACCCTTCCTCCTGTGCCGGACGCCGCACAATCCTCGTCGTCGTCCTCGCCCGTGGGATGCCGCCGCCATCTTGCCTCCCTCCGTTGCCGTGCTGCTCGGTGAGCGCTCCCTCCCTCTCCCTCCTAGCCTTCGCCGCCCACCTCCCGTGCCAGCGCCGCGTCGCGCCGCTGCCGCCGGTGGCTGTCCGGCCAGGTCGCCGCTGCCGCGCGCCGCGCCCGCTCCGCCGCCGGCTGGCCGCCTCCCCTTGGTCCCCGCCGTGGCCGGTCTGGTCCATCGGATCGGCCCGGCCCCATTTGGGCCATCCACATGGTGGACGCGCGCCCGAGGCCGCGGTGGACCGTGTCCACCGTGCGCCTGTCCCCTTGCTTGCTGACATGTGGGGGCCGCATGTTGGCGCCGGCCGCCCCTTGCTGACATCAACGATGATCTTTTCCTTTGGAAAATAATTAGTAATTGCGCAATAATTCGTTAATAATTCTAGAAATTCATTTAAATGGCTCAAAACTTCTAAAATTCATATCTAATTCATTTGAACTCCGAATTGAGCCGTTCAACTTGCAAAATTCATCTAAAATTGAGCTCTACATGTTTGTTTACTTTTTATGTACTTTTTCATTGGTTTTTATTAGAGTTTTTCCTCGTTTTGCGTGCCAGCGTGTAGTTTCCGTCGTTTCGGAAGTCCGCGGTCGCGAGGAAAAGAGTTCGGAAGATTGTTTTGAAGAAGCAAGGCAAGTCACACATTCCCCTTGAGCATGTTGATCCCAATTTATAAATGTTTTACCATTTGCAAATAAATATGCATGTTTTGCTAATTACCTGGGATCCGGGTATTCCCTTCCCTCTCTCTAGCTCTGTGATTCCACCGGCCCTCCCCTGCCGCAACCAACCGGAGGTATTCGGGCTTCTCGGGTTGCCCCTTTCTTGATCCGGCGCCTCACTAGTGGCGCCGGTGAGGAGGATCCCGTGCCTTGCCAGTGGTGTCGGTGAGGGGGTAGATGTGCTTGATCCACGAAACGAGCTTATGGTGGATCACTATTCAATGGCACAAGCTTCCGGCGGGAGTTGATCTGGTGAAGCAGCGGCAACTGAATCCGTGACGCTGCTTGCGTGGTCTCTATCCACCGGCGTTCGAGTTCCTGGTTGTGCGTCCCCCATCCACCCCGAGTTCCCCACTCCTTCAGCCGCCAAAGATTGACGCCATCAGCCATCCCATCACATCATGGTCCTCTACTTCCCATTCTGCTTTGTGCTGTTGCACACAAAAACAGCAATGTAAGGCAATTATTTGATTCAGTTTAGCATCTTCCATGCATTTACTGTGTTTTTTTACTTGATCCACCATCTTACCCTTAGGTTCCGTCGAGTGACTGATGGATTAGGGTGAGGTGTTGTTCACAGATAGAGAGAAGATGTCTTGTGTGCTACCACTCTATCGTGCCATCTTGCTGAGGGACCCATCGAGCTGTCCTCTCTATTAAGCAACTAGACCGTAACAATTTCCTTTTCTTTTTTTGTTTTTAACTACAACCCAGTGATTCCTTTTTTATTTTAATTGCTTCCATGTAGTGTGGGGAATAATATTAATTCTTTCATGCAGTAAGGCAAGAAATCATTCTATCACAAGTTAATACAATTCTCTTATGATTATGTAGGTTGGTTCTCTCTCTCAACTAGGTTGTTCGCTGTCTAGGTTGAACTAGGATTAAAAAGGATATCATATTCCTTAAATTAATGTTTGCCTCTTTTGGTTTATGGCATGATCATATTCATGATTCATGCGCAGTTTTATGGATTCAAGTTTGAAGAACACAAACAATATGCAGGTGCATTGTTTTTTATTTATTTCCATATTGTTCATGTGCATCATTGTTTAATTTTAGGAAACACTAACTGTTTCATGTTGTTCCTACCTCTATCCTGAAAGGGGTACTCACAGTTTCAGCAGGGAGATTCATCTTGCAGGACACCATTCATCTTCTTTACCACGGCACGGTTAACAAAAGCCTAATTATATTCTAATGATCATATGCAATTATGCCTCACTTCTATTAAGAGAATTTTCTTTACTTCAGATTATTTAATATGAATTCAGTTGCCAGAAATTCCATGTTTATTGGTTGTACTGCTACATTATATATTATATGATATGGTGGTGCCACTTTACCTAGCTTGATAGAATGACATCGATGGAAAAAAAATCATGCTAGGCATCACTACAAGGCTATCAACAGAAAGCTTATATGAAAGCATTCTGCCAACAGGATATGCACTGTAAGGATATACTTTTTATTAGGATTGCCAAGCTTTCTACCAGAAATGACAATGATGCGTAGAATGCAGATATTATAGATGATGTACATGCTATTATTGATGCGTTGTTAGATTAATTTATGGGGTTTGTTGTGTTGGTCGAGTTCAATAAAGAAAGTTGATAAGATCATGGAGGAAATAAAGCCTATGATTGCTTTATCATTGCTTGGCGGTGTTTTAGATGACTCTGTTACCCCATATTCGATAAATAGGATATTGAAGCAGGTAATTATGAAATGCTATCCTACAAACTTATATTCTGCCAAACAAAAAACTTTTAAAAGAGCGGCTCTTATTTTTATAATGTAATGTGCAAATGATGAAGACTGCAGGCAACTATTTGTCTTTGCACCACTGTCTCTGCCATGATCCAATAGTTTGGTCGGGCCTCTAGAATATGCTAGCAGCACCAGGAATGTTCTATGCATATAAATTCTCCATGTTGCCGGTCACCAGCAATTATAAGATTCTATCTTAGGTTCATGATAGAATACTTCTCTTATACTTACTATTTGTGCCACTTCTTAATCCATGGCCATCATGTGTTGATAGATGCCCTATTTCTCTTTTCTTCTCTTTGTATAAATTAGCCTCTAGTGCTGGAAGTACAAATCCCAGTAACTTATTGCTGTGTGTATATTATTCCCACATTTTTTCTCATTAATTTTTGCAATAACATTGCATCATCTTTTGCAAATCAGTTTTGGCTATTCTCCTTTTTTTTCAGGAGATTCCTTTCTGATGCGTATAATGTGTTTTAGGTGAACAGATGTCGCGACCGAGAAAATTGCATTTTCCCGAATGCTAGTGTATTAATCCCCGTCCCAGGAAAAGCCGGGGTACACCATACAAACATGATATAAAAGACACATCTTTATTATATCGATAATATTTACATTATTACAAAGGCACTTAAGGCCTGACAATCAAAAATAAACAGCAGCGGACTAGCGGGCCTACGGCTCCATCTTCACAGGCGCTCAACTGGGGTATAAGCCAAGACTCCACCTAAGACTTCTTCTCCAAAGCTTCTCTTACTGAAGGGGGGAGAAAGATAGAGCAAGAATGAGTACAACCACAGTACTCACCAAGCCACACCGGCGGATGCACCATTAATGCAAGGGGGTACAAGGGGTAATGATATAGGGGTTAAGTTTTGCAGAAAACAGCATTTAAAAGTCACTTAGTTGCCCAAAGCCATTTTAAAAAGACGATCCTAGAGCTACACAGTATTATTAATCAAGGTCGTGAACCCGCACGAACCTGCCTTAACCCAAGGCCTACGATGATTCAGACCGAACTGGCAACCCGACCCTAGGTCCCAGCTCGTCCCAAGCCAACCCAGTCCAACCATTCCACATTTTAGTTGTTGAGCAAATTTTAAGAATTAAAACACTAACTTGGGTACATTGCTCGGCTTGCCCATAACCGAGGGCGCGGCTATTCGAATAGATTATACTCTGATCAGAGGTGTACATCTTTACCCACAAGACACATCTTCCTCACGTGTAACCACGTGCCACATACCACCATGGTATACGGACGGAAGACGTGACATAGTTCCCAACCCATCCTAGCCATAAACAAGAGTACCGACCCAACCCCACCTACGGCCGGAACCTCCGGGACAGGTAGGCAGGATTGAGCCCCTAGCAGCAGGACACCAGCCCTGTGCCATGACATCTCGACTACCGGGCCGCAGCTCGTGTAGCCTTCATTTGTCCTAGAGATGTCCATCGACCCCCGACTTCGTCCATCTCCATCCGTGTACTTTTGTTTATAACCAGACTGAGCCACAAACTAAGCCTTACCCACTAGACATGTGGACGTACGGTAGTACTTTGCAATAGAGGCCCGAAGACCGGTCCTTATATGGCCGAGGTGCTACTATCAAAACCATGCACCCCGAGCCCAGCCTAAAACCATTTTGGGGATTTTGAATAGAGGGGGCGGTGTGAATCCAATTCCACAATAAACCAACAATTCCAAAGTGTCCAGGTGATATGAATATCCCAAAGTCTAGAGTTGAAAAACCACCTAATGTTACCTAATTAAAAAAGCGAAGCATCTACCTAAAATCATACTAGTGGTACCATGAGTAGAGTGTCCACTAGTTGGGGTTTTGTTTAATCTAGGGTGAACAAGGTAATAATAACAATAACAATAATAATAAGGTCATAACAAAGGTAGATAGGCATGGCTAGATAAAACAGTGATAACGCGGCAATTTAAATAAAGCGATAATGCAATAATTTAAAGCAACATAATTTTATAAACTGGGATTCAATATGTTCAAGGATGATGTGACTTGCCTTGCTCGCTTTCCCAAACGCCGGCTTCAACTTCCACGAAGAGCGGATCCTCCGAAGCTGCTGCGTCTACACGACCAACGGAAAAGAAAAGGCTTTTACTCTAATAAACTCCATATAACAAGCAAAAACAAAGCACAAAAATGGGTTCTTGACTTCTTAAGGAAAAATTAGAGACTTAAACGGTCCAATTCCGAGTTCAAATGGCCAAGTTATGGCCATTTGAAGTTTATATGCTCTTTAAATGAATATTTGCGAATTTCTTCATTTAAATTTTAATTTAAAATAGATTTATTGCGTCAGCCGAGGGGAGGGGCGCGCGGACCGGGTCCACGGGGGTGGGGCCCACGCGGCAGCCCCACGGTCCACGGTGGACCGGGCGCACCCGGGCTCGCACCGGCCGGCGCCGTGGGTCCCACGCGTCAGCCGCACCTAAGGGCGCGGGCGGCTGACAGCCGGGCCCCACGCGGCAGCCGCGGGGCGCGCCCGAAGGCGGCCACGGCGGCGCGGCCGGCGGGAGGCGGCGCGCCCGCGCCCCTATGGTCGCCGGCGGCGGCCATAGGTACGGCGGAGCGGCGGCCGAGAGAGGGGAGGGAAGGGGGAAACGAATCGGCGGTCCACGGCTCACCTTGGGTCGACGGCGACGACGGAAACGGCGACCGGAGCGGAGGAAGGCGGCGGCGCGGCTCGGGTGGACGGGGTCGACGGTGCTCCGGCGGTCGGCGAGCGAAACGGAGGGGTGGACGAGGTCAGCGAGGATGCGGCGAAGCCGAAGGAGGCGGCGCCGAGGCGGGAGATGGTCCGGGGCGACGACGGCGGCGGACCGGAGCTCGGCGGCGACGGCGGAGAGAGAGAGCGACGGCGCGAGCTCGATTCCGGTGGAGAGAGAGAGCGGCGAGTGGCGGAAACGGTGGAGGGAGGCACGGGGAAGGTTTATATAGGGTTGGGAGAGAGAGAGGGCGGCCGGACGAGGGGGAAACGGGCGCGGAAGATCCGGCCGCCATTGATGGCGCCGGCGAGGTTAGGGGGAAAGTTTCCAAACGAATCCGAGGGAGAGAGAGAGGGAAAAATGGGGGGAAAGGGGGAGGGGATCACGGGGAATATTTCCCCCCTATTGATTGCACGCGGGGCGGACGGGGGCGGCGGGATTCGCGGCGGCGGCGGCGCTACGGCGCGGGCGAGGCGGCGGGAGCGGCGGGAGGAAGGGGATGACGGGTGGGCCCCACCCGTCAGCGAGGGTGGCGGGCGGGCCCGCCCGTCAGCGGCGCGCGCGCGGGGAGAGGCCGAGTGGGCCGCGGGGAGAGGAGAGGGAGGGGGAGGGAGATGGGCCGAGCCGGCCCATGGGGGAGAGAGGGGGGGGAAAAGGACTTTTTAGAGTTTTTCTTTTTATAAAATCATTTTAACTTTGTTTATTTCTTAATAATTATTATTTGTGCTCTGAAAATTCCACTAAAATTTGAGGGCTCCTTTTAGACCAAGGAGAATTTAACAAAAATTCTCCGGGCCACATTTGAATTTTTCTTGTACGTATTTTAGTGTTTGCCAATTCTTTTAGAATTTTAATTAATTCTATTATTCCTTTTAGAAAATGATTTTTATTTCGGGATGAATTTATCAGGACGTGACAAATCCACCCCCCTTACAAGAATCTCGTCCCCGAGATTCGAGGAGGCTAGCAAGAAGATAGGTTGGGTGGTCTTCTCTTCTTATTTGACTTCTTCCGCTCCGTCTTCACAAACTTTCAGCAAAACTTCACCACTCGGAACTGCTTGGCTTGACCTCCTGTTGCGGATGGAATCTTCTCTTCACCTGACTTGAACCAGGGTGCACCTTTTAGCTGACTCAGACTAGGTTGCGGTAGTTTAATGATGCTTCCGTTCCAGAACTTCTCATGATTCATATCTTTGGAGTCAACCTCATACAAGTTACCACTTCATGTCATGCGTCAACACTAGCTTGTCATTACTAGGATACCATGTTTGTCATCATAAGAATATCATGCTTGTCATTTACTTCTAACTTGCCACCAACTGCCTCATATTAGCTTTCCTGGTCTCCGGGTGATAGCTACTTCTGCTATTTGATGCAAGGGTCGATAACTTTGCCTTTGAATTATGCTTCCCAAGAGAACCAACTTATCCCACTTGACATACTTTGACGTCTTCCCAAATGGCTTTACTGCTGGATTTGTTATTGTCTAATCATTATCCTGCCAAATCTGAGGCTTCGTTGTTAGATGTGATTTTAATCTGACCTCTGTAGATTATCTTCGAACATATCACTTGATTCATAACTGGGAATAGCTCTCACGAACAAGCAACTCGGATTCACTTTCTTTATGTTCAGTTTACTTTCCACTATTCTCTTCATGTTGTCATCATTTAGCATTCAACGTATTCCTTTGCACCTTCAGCCTTGATGTGTTCTTTCTCGATGGATCGATTGCTAGGAAAGTGCGTTGAACGATACTAGTGCAAGTGCTTTTATTCTAGTAGCATCTGATACAAAGCCCAAGGTTGAACCGAGCTTTAGATTCCACTGTTCAGGTTTTACTTCTTGACTTCTTGGTCATGTCACAAAAGTTTCCATCCTTGTCCCCATAGAAGTACTTCTACCTGTGGTCATCTCTCTTACTCGTGAATTCACCTACTTTAATGACAGGGCAACTGTTGTAGGGTTGATTGCTATCGGGAGTCTTCCTCGAGTGACACAAATCATGGTTCTCGTTATCCTTTATCAATCACCTTTCGACCTACTTCTTTTCCCAGTAACCAAACATCTTTTCCGATCTCTTCCATTAATCACCTTTCGACCTTTCTCAACCAGGTACTCTTCGCTCCGGGTGTTGAGGATGCTTCTGGGGCAATGAGGTCCTTGGGCGTGCTGTCTTTCAGAGAAACCTTGAAGTAGTTCGTCAAAAGCTAGACTGACGATTGTTGCCTTTGATCCGAAGAAGACACATCTGAAACTCTTAGTCCAAACAAATGTCTCTTTGGTTGATCACTTGATTTTCTTCGCCATCAATCGCTAGGTTATTTGATGCATAACAGATTATGAGCTTACGGAAATGAGACCCTAGGTCTCCCTAATCAACAACAAAATGTACACAACTCACAGCACTTGCAATCTTAACATGGATCCTTCATAAACTTATCAAACTCATTCATTATCTCATGTTTCTCTGTTATTACATGATTGACGGGGAACAACTATAAAACAAAAGTATTTGAACACTGATATAAGAGTATTATGGTTGCTTCTGACTAGCGCTAGGCTTAACAGGTACTGCATTTGCTCCAGTGACCACTTGGCGATTGGCATGTCTGCTTCCTTAACAGGTACTACAGTTGTAACAGACAATAACTTTCTTACGCTCGGGTTCTTCATCTTGTACTTGATTTTTTTGGCTGCTGTGCTGGAACATCCAAAGGTATAATGCCGATACTGGCCTCTGTCTTGTCAACTGATGGCTGGGGCTGAAATTGAGCATTGACACCTTGTGGTAATGCACTCGCTGGAGTTGGAGCTGTTGCAACGCGGGCTATAGGACTGCTTCGGGATGCATGGATGACAATTCGCTGAGGAGCAAGCTTCTGATTGCAGGGAGTTGCGTGGACTGACGTGCTGGCAGCTATGTTTCTCGGTTTTGGGCACTTGTCGGCGAAATGACCCATTCCTTGACAATTGAAGCAACAGATATCTTCCCGGACTCGGCATTTTCTTTTCTCATTTTGATTCCTCTGTCCTGGCACTGGAGTTAGGCTGAAACTGTAATCTTGGCGAGGATTTGTGTTGCCTTGATGCTTCTCTCCGTTGGAACTGGCGGGTTGGTTGGCCATCTTCTTCGTCAGCAGAAAACTGAATTGACAATCTTTTGGTACATGATCAGTTCCTTCACAAAAGAAACAAGTGATCCTGCTCGTTGGACACCTGTCGGGTGGATGGTCTTCCTCACAATGAACGCATGTAGTGGCACACGAGCTGGCAACATGACCGATTTTCTCCACAACGAGAGCATGCCTTACGTTCCATTTCATCTTCATCATCTGAGGAGACTTGATCTGAATCTTCACTATCAGACACTCTACCTCCATTAGCTAAAAGATGCTCTGTCAACTGTGGTGCACCTCGGAAGGTATGTCTTCTCTGACGTTTTGTCATTCCTGGTGGAGGCCATTCTGTGCTGGTAATGATCATCTTACGGACTTCATCTTCGGTTCGCATTGGTGTTTTTCTTTTCTGCTGAGGACACTCCCTTGCATAGTGCCCTTGCTCATCACACATAAAACAAATGATACTTGCTTCTTTTGAGTCAACATGTGGCACGTCACCATGGGTCCTTCGGGATGCTGGCGGCATGCTGACTTGTGGTGTGAGTGCTTGGACTGCCTCCAACTGCACTTGAGGTTGCATCTGACTCAGGTTCAGAATTGGCGTCTGATGCTGCTGTAGTATCTCTATAAGCAATTGGTTCTGGTTAATCAGGTGTTGGACCAGTGTCACACAACTGGTGTCTGGTGCTTCATTCACTCGGGAGCTTGAGGTACCAATGTCCTGACTTCTGACCTTATTGCCTTTCTCATTGTCAGCCATCTGTTGCAAAGGTTTGGAGAGGGAGAGAGGGAAAACAAAGGGGAGAGACAGATTAGAAACTAAGGATAGTACCTTAACAGATCTAAGTCTTTTGCTGTTATGATGTATGTTAGGCTTATTCTGCAAGTTGATTAAGCAAACAACCTAGCATGGTTACATCACACCCCACTGATGCAAACCACGCGCTACACACACAAGCAAGGAAACACACGACTAACGACTCTACCCTAGAGGGTGGCTTAGGTTCTGTGACGGGTTCTCAAGATCTTCACTCCTGCTTCACAGCTGGCTTCACTGCTTCCTCCACTTCGCTAGCGGATCCTGCAGTCTTCCGGAGCTTCGGCAAACAACTGACGATGTCTTCTTCTTCACTGACCTGACCATCTAGTACTAGTTGAAATCCGAAGAAGGAAGAAGGGAGTAAACCTTTTGCAAATAGCATTAGGGGAAGGAGAAAAAAGGAACTTTCGCAAATAGTTTTATTTATAAAATATGTCCTTAGGTTTTATACACTTGGCTTATCCTACAGTCGAGATGGCTCTGATACCATCTTGTCGCGACCGAGAAAATTGCATTTTCCCGAACGCTAGTGTATTAATCCCCGTCCCAGGAAAAGCCGGGGTACACCATACAAACATGATATAAAAGACACATCTTTATTATATCGATAATATTTACATTATTACAAAGGCACTTAAGGCCTGACAATCAAAAATAAACAGCAGCGGACTAGCGGGCCTACGGCTCCATCTTCACAGGCGCTCAACTGGGGTATAAGCCAAGACTCCACCTAAGACTTCTTCTCCAAAGCTTCTCTTACTGAAGGGGGGAGAAAGATAGAGCAAGAATGAGTACAACCACAGTACTCACCAAGCCACACCGGCGGATGCACCATTAATGCAAGGGGGTACAAGGGGTAATGATATAGGGGTTAAGTTTTGCAGAAAACAGCATTTAAAAGTCACTTAGTTGCCCAAAGCCATTTTAAAAAGACGATCCTAGAGCTACACAGTATTATTAATCAAGGTCGTGAACCCGCACGAACCTGCCTTAACCCAAGGCCTACGATGATTCAGACCGAACTGGCAACCCGACCCTAGGTCCCAGCTCGTCCCAAGCCAACCCAGTCCAACCATTCCACATTTTAGTTGTTGAGCAAATTTTAAGAATTAAAACACTAACTTGGGTACATTGCTCGGCTTGCCCATAACCGAGGGCGCGGCTATTCGAATAGATTATACTCTGATCAGAGGTGTACATCTTTACCCACAAGACACATCTTCCTCACGTGTAACCACGTGCCACATACCACCATGGTATACGGACGGAAGACGTGACATAGTTCCCAACCCATCCTAGCCATAAACAAGAGTACCGACCCAACCCCACCTACGGCCGGAACCTCCGGGACAGGTAGGCAGGATTGAGCCCCTAGCAGCAGGACACCAGCCCTGTGCCATGACATCTCGACTACCGGGCCGCAGCTCGTGTAGCCTTCATTTGTCCTAGAGATGTCCATCGACCCCCGACTTCGTCCATCTCCATCCGTGTACTTTTGTTTATAACCAGACTGAGCCACAAACTAAGCCTTACCCACTAGACATGTGGACGTACGGTAGTACTTTGCAATAGAGGCCCGAAGACCGGTCCTTATATGGCCGAGGTGCTACTATCAAAACCATGCACCCCGAGCCCAGCCTAAAACCATTTTGGGGATTTTGAATAGAGGGGGCGGTGTGAATCCAATTCCACAATAAACCAACAATTCCAAAGTGTCCAGGTGATATGAATATCCCAAAGTCTAGAGTTGAAAAACCACCTAATGTTACCTAATTAAAAAAGCGAAGCATCTACCTAAAATCATACTAGTGGTACCATGAGTAGAGTGTCCACTAGTTGGGGTTTTGTTTAATCTAGGGTGAACAAGGTAATAATAACAATAACAATAATAATAAGGTCATAACAAAGGTAGATAGGCATGGCTAGATAAAACAGTGATAACGCGGCAATTTAAATAAAGCGATAATGCAATAATTTAAAGCAACATAATTTTATAAACTGGGATTCAATATGTTCAAGGATGATGTGACTTGCCTTGCTCGCTTTCCCAAACGCCGGCTTCAACTTCCACGAAGAGCGGATCCTCCGAAGCTGCAGCGTCTACACGACCAACGGAAAAGAAAAGGCTTTTACTCTAATAAACTCCATATAACAAGCAGGAACAAAGCACAAAAATGGGTTCTTGACTTCTTAAGGAAAAATTAGAGACTTAAACGGTCCAATTCCGAGTTCAAATGGCCAAGTTATGGCCATTTGAAGTTTATATGCTCTTTAAATGAATATTTGCGAATTTCTTCATTTAAATTTTAATTTAAAATGGATTTATTGCGTCAGCCGAGGGGAGGGGCGCGCGGACCGGGTCCACGGGGGTGGGGCCCACGCGGCAGCCCCACGGTCCACGGTGGACCGGGCGCACCCGGGCTCGCACCGGCCGGCGCCGTGGGTCCCACGCGTCAGCCGCACCTAAGGGCGCGAGCGGCTGACAGCCGGGCCCCACGCGGCAGCCGCAGGGCGCGCCCGAAGACGGCCACGGCGGCGCGGCCGGCGGGAGGCGGCGCGCCCGCGCCCCTATGGTCGCCGGCGGCGGCCATAGGTATGGCGGAGCGGCGGCCGAGAGAGGGGAGGGAAGGGGGAAACGAATCGGCGGTCCACGGCTCACCCCAGGTCGACGGCGACGACGGAAACGGTGACCGGAGCGGAGGAAGGCGGCGGCGCGGCTCGGGTGGACGGGGTCGACGGTGCTCCGGCGGTCGGCGAGCGAAACGGAGGGGTGGACGAGGTCGGCGAGGATGCGGCGAAGCCGAAGGAGGCGGCGCCGAGGCGGGAGATGGTCCGGGGCGACGACGGCGGCGGACCGGAGCTCGGCGGAGAGAGAGAGCGACGGCGCGAGCTCGATTCCGGCGGAGAGAGAGAGCGGCGAGTGGCGGAAACGGTGGAGGGAGGCACGGGGAAGGTTTATATAGGGTTGGGAGAGAGAGAGGGCGGCCGGACGAGGGGGAAACGGGCGCGGAAGATCCGGCCGCCATTGATGGCGCCGGCGAGGTTAGGGGGAAAGTTTCCAAACGAATCCGAGGGAGAGAGAGAGGGAAAAATGGGGGGAAAGGGGGAGGGGATCACGGGGAATATTTCCCCCCTATTGATTGCACGCGGGGCGGACGGGGGCGGCGGGATTCGCGGCGGCGGCGGCGCTAGGGCGCGGGCGAGGCGGCGGGAGCGGCGGGAGGAAGGGGATGACGGGTGGGCCCCACCCGTCAGCGAGGGTGGCGGGCGGGCCCGCCCGTCAGCGGCGCGCGCGCGGGGAGAGGCCGAGTGGGCCGCGGGGAGAGGAGAGGGAGGGGGAGGGAGATGGGCTGAGCCGGCCCAAGGGGGAGAGAGAGGGAAAAAGGACTTTTTAGAGTTTTTCTTTTTATAAAATCATTTTAACTTTGTTTATTTCTTAATAATTATTATTTGTGCTCTGAAAATTCCACTAAAATTTGAGGGCTCCTTTTAGACCAAGGAGAATTTAACAAAAATTCTCCGGGCCACATTTGAATTTTTCTTGTACGTATTTTAGTGTTTGCCATTTCTTTTCGAATTTTAATTAATTCTATTATTCCTTTTAGAAAATGATTTTTATTTCGGGATGAATTTATCAGGACGTGACAACAGATAAACTCATACAAGAGCGATACCACCTTAGTTACTGCCAAAAAGATCAGAAAATCACCTTTCAAAAGCCGAGCCAGCATTGCTGCTGTTGAAAAAGACATCTATTTCTACTTTTTTTTGGTGATATTTGTATCCCAAAACCTATATTTAGACTATATCATGGTGTGTATTTTGTGCCGTTTTGGTAATTGGGACATTTTTACTCTGTTGGTCATGATTTATGTTACATAAAAGAGACTGTACATGGGAGAACCTCTCTATATACGATATTACTTCTCTTATTTTGTCATTAAAATCATCGGTACATATGTAAGTTACTCCTTTGACATACTCCAATGGTTTATCAGCTTTACAAACTATACAACAAACATTGCATAATCTTTATGATCTTCTGCGTAGGTGGTGTATCAGATATGCATGTCCTTTGTTCTGCTGACGTATTGTAGTGATACTTTTTTTTCAATATAAAACAATATGTTTTCTCAATAAAGCTATACTCATATGTATGTTGGCACCAGGTGCTATTTTATACACTTCAGTTCATGACATTGTAGCATAGTTGTGGCATGTACATCATCTTCAAACGGCGCAGCGTAGCGCGTATTTCTTTCTAGTTAAGTTGAAAATTGTGAGCCGGCCAGCCGATCCGGTGACGACGTGAAGTTTTAATTAGTCTCGCGTCAGCTGATCTCGTCATAAGCTCACCCTCAAGTCCAACTCATAATTGAAACTGTGCAAGTACAGTTGCTGCATACTGCTGGTACATGCCTTAGTCACGTTAGGTGACAAATATAGGACGTGTTTAGTTCACGTCAAAATTTGAAGTTTGGTTGAAATTGGAACGATGTGACGGAAAAGTTGGAAGTTTGTGTGTGTAGAAAAGTTTTGATGTGATGGAAAAGTTTAAAGTTTGAAGAAATAGTTTGGAACTAAACTCGGCGATAATCTCTCCCAACAACCGTACTACTACGCGTGGCTAGTGAATGTGCAGTAAAACTCCTATAATATCTTTCGTTACTACTAGTACACTCTAGTAATATTGCTTTCTTACATGAACACATGTATATATGGTGGCATATGGTAGATAACATTTCATAGTTTAATTTAACTTTTATCTAAACAAAAGGTTTATTATTGTCCGATCGCTACCATACGAGAGATGACCTGTTTTTTTTTCCACTAGAGATGAATCTCATACACTGAAGAACATAACTACGACATGGCACCCTTGGATATTTGCCAAACCTTTTTTGTCATGGTATTTGAGCACTACTACAAAACCCTCGTAGCTACCGACTTATAGGAGTCCAGACTTTTCTTTTTTTTTTTAGTTTCTAAGTTACGGATCAGGGGATTAATTAGTGTGGGGTTGATCTTGATATGTTGATTTGGGGGATTGTTGATCCTGTATGTTCTTGATCTGTTGATGTGGATTCTTGATCCAATGTTGGGAAACAGGTTCAAACTGATCAAAGCATCGAGCTGGCGTTTCTTTTTTCCTACCACTGGCACCAATAAGTCTAGGGTATTGCTGCCAGATGATATGTGCCGGCTGTAAATTCAGCATGTATGCCGGGTTTGCAACTGGCACCTAACAGGTGTTTTGCAGTAGTGGAGCCTAACTAGGATGATATTTTGTTTAGTGCTTTAGTGTATTTGAGAGGTGCTACAAGCTACAAACTTTGTAGTGTAAAGCGGGGTATATATTCTTACACAGACGTAGGATTACAAATTTTCAAACTTAGACGCAACACATAATAACTGATACAGAGTACCGAAACACCAACCGGCCTATCAATCTTGGTCCAAATGGAACCGGCAGTACAAAAATCACTGCGAATTAAAATAACTGGCAGTAATATTCAATACCGGTTCTTAAGGTGAACTAATGGCAAAAATTGCGAGATGGCGGTCATAGTTTTAGAACCACATTAAGTGTTGGCCTCACATCCGTTGATCTGGTTAAGTCCTGCACTAACACCCGATTCTCTCGATATCTCTCCATTCCCCCTCTCTCTTTCATCCCCACTCATATATGGCTTCCCACAATGACCTCCAAGATCGATCTCCCCCAATGACGGTATGAGGCAGATCATTTATTTCATGATGGTACCTGAAGACGCCACCCATAACCCGCTTCATGACGACGTTGCCATTTTCATCGCTAGAAATGTTTACTGCTTTCCTGACGAATTCCCTGATGATGATGGTACCTTACAGCCCTCTCGGCTGTTGTGGAGATCACCTCAAGACATCACGTAAATTAAAGCCGGCTCCAAGCGATGCCATCCACTCTTGCTCCAGCACCGTCTACTCCTTGTCTGACACAATCCATACTCCTCTTTCGATAACAGAGAACCAGGTATGACAACAAAGACACAGGCAAGAAAGCCAGGACAACTGGATCAGGCCCTCACATTGGCAATAGTGGCTTCTCATCTTCCTAAACCCGGGCAACTCCTCCATGGGCCACATCTAGCTTAAGGTTGTGACAGGGGGAGACTGAGGAGGCGAGTCATGACAACAATGATGGGTCTGGAGTTTAAGGCAATGGCGAGGCATGCTAGCACAGTTGGGTTGGATTTGAGCCGAGATGCGTATGATATTGTTTTTAAGATTTTTTGTGTTGTTTTCTATTGATTTATCCTCGATGTGTTCTTGCCATCAAATTTTCTTAAACATCAACTTGCTTATGTGTGAATTTTTTTCTTACTGCAGTCATTCCCCAAATCAGTATGCAAGTGTGTATTCAAGTTTGTGAAATGCAAATCATCTATATTTTTTATTCTATGTAAATTTCACAGAACAATAGATATTTTCACCAAACTAATACAAAACTACAGATTTAAGATGGTGTATCACAAAGCTACAGATTTAGCATTAAATTTATCATGGAACTACTGTTTATGTTAATCACAAACCTACAACGTTTATGACTCTGACATAATAGTAGCACTAGAGATTTAAACTCCAAGACCTATAGTTTTGTTATATATAACTCTATTATTACATATATAGTTTTGGCGCACCCACTTCTAGTTGCATAGTAAATTTGGCGTTAAATATGTAATTTTAGTAAACATCACTTTAAATCTATATTTTTAAAATATTTTGATCAATTAAAGTAGCTGGAATGATTTTGAAATTTACTCTTTAAGCAACCAGCACAGTTGTAATTATCTCAATCGGTTGTTGAACGTGCCCTAGTTTTAAAAGCAACAACCGGTTTGTGGACAGGTCGTATTTGTATTAAGGAACCGACAATGGTACTTATCACAATCGGTCGTTAAACGTGCCCTAGTTTTAAAAGCAACAGCGGGTTTGTGAACAGGTGGTATTTGTATGGTGATTAATTTACTACTTGTGTAAAACTTTCGGACAGTCACCTAGCTATGGCCCAGTACTACTAGAAGCCAGTACAAAACGTTTAATATTCAGCACATGGGTAGCTAATAAGGCTTTGCATCATTGCATGAAATGGCCGGGAGTTACAATTAATAGTGAAGATAAGATGGTACACTCGGGCCAGAACTACTAGCAGCTTATTAAGTACCACGCAATTAATCCATATGGACGAATCATGTGTCCTTGTCCCAGTAAACAAACAATACACACATAAGAAATATTAACAATAATAATCTAATTAAGATAAATAATCATCGTATCATGCAGATGCAGCTGGGACGTGAGATCCTGGTTGCGCCTATAAATAGGCGCCTCACTCTCCCAACATTTTGCATAGACGAGAGGAATAAAGTAGTACCGTATCTGAGCCTCTTGCTTTGCTGATCTCCTCGAGTAATTCTCGCTGAAATGAAGCTAGAAAACATGAAGGCTGTGAAGAGTCCGATTATGTGTGTGCTGGTGCTAGGCTTAGTCCTGCAGCAAGAGACGATCAAGGTGGAAGCTAAGAGCTGCTGCCCAACCACCACGGCAAGAAACATCTATAATGCATGCCGTTTTGCGCTTGGCACAAGGGAAAGATGTTCTAAACTCTCTGGCTGCAAAATTGTTGATGGGAAATGCAAGCCGCCTTACATTCACCACACCCTTTACCCCGAATCTGGTAAATTAAAACATATTAACTTTCTTTCTCTATATTTGTTGGCTGTTGGTTTCATAAGCTCAATCAACCTTGTGTGCAAGAGATTAGAAATTATTTTTACTGAAATATATATGAAAATGCATGATTTTGCAGAGGAATCGGATGTACTTGACTTCTGTATGCTAGGATGTACTTCGTCCATGTGCAGCAACATGAACACTTGTAAGCTAGAATCGAAAACATGAAACCAAATTACCATTTTTCAACATATAGAAAAGAATCTTCGGTTTGCTGTAGCTAATGTATATAATCAGTTTTTCCCTTGAAGTTGCTGACAACGAAGAAGGGAACGTTGTTGTGGAACGTTGCAACGAAGCATGCTACCACTTCTGCAACAAGAAAGCTGATATTGTCACTGTCGTTTCCTAAACAACTGCATCATGCAAGCATAAGGGACTCCGCACTTTGAATCCCCATGCAAGGCTAGCTATATATGCTGCCCTGGAGTAGTCATAAATAAGTTGGATATCATGATATCCAAACTAGTGTGCCGTCGATCTCTCATGTGTGTTTACGACACTTTGTATTTCTAATAAGCCATGACATATAATCGCATTCTACCATCTTCTATTAAGGATGCATGCATGTGAGGATATGTTGAGTGATGATATCTTGGCTAAAAAATAAATATAATCGAGTTTCTAGTTTCATCACATATCATTTCTAACATTTGGTCATCAAGAAACCAGAAATATAAGTATATTTATGCGCCTTTCATCCTATGCCCTCATGCAACAACTAATGTGTTAAATATTTTCTTCCAAACGGGAGGCATTTTAACATGAACAAAAAGAACTTCAGTATTGGAGTCATGATTTTAGATTTGGGTGGTCCTACTTAGATATTTTTTAAATGATGTAAATATAACAAGGTAATAGAATTACATGTTGATCAAAGATATACCATAATATATTAATAAGAGACACAGGGAGAATTCCCCCCTCCCCGGGCAAGCAACCGACTGCGGAGTTAAAACGTAAATCGCGACACACAGGGATTGTTTTCCACTCTGAGTGCCAACTATCCATTGAAGAGTTGAATTTTAACTCATGACACACAGGTAGAGTTCCCACGTACTCCCGGTGAATATATACCGATTTAGGAGTTAAAACTTAACTTGCATGCAGTTGGTGCGTGGGTTACGAGGCCTTATAGATTGAGTTAACATTGATGATATGTTGTCGCTGGTTCCTATGCAGTTGGTGCGTGGGTTACGAGGCCTTACTGATTGAGTTAACACATTTTTTTTGCGTGGGATTCGTTTGAAGATGTACTTCAGTTAAAATTTATCGATATAAAAAATTAACGAAAATCAACTGTGTGAGAGTTAAAACTTATCTGGAAGAAATTGTGGCGCAAACGAACCCCGCAGACATCATGTCTACTCGAGACCGTATAGTGAAAGTTAAAGTTTAACTAATGTAAACAATGGTGATGCGTTTTGATGTCTCAGTGCTATGGGTAGCTTAAAATTGGGGTGGTGGATGGTTGTGAAGCTGATGTCATATAGTTAAAAAATAACTTTGATTAACCGTTCGGTGATGTAAACTGTCCGTATGTGAAAGTTAAAGTTTAACTGATGGAAAGAATGGTGATGCGTTTCGGTGTCTCAGTGCTATGGGTAGCTTAAAATTCGGGGAGGTGGATGATTGTGAAGTTGATGTCATATAGTTAAATAATAACTTTGATAAACCGATCAGTGGTGAACACTCTCGGTATGTAAAAGCTAAAGTTTAACTGATGAAAAGAATGGTGATGCATTTCGATGTCGCAGATAACGAGTAAATATTCGTTCTTTGTTCCGGTCATACGTCATAGCTATGATTATCTTAAAATCCGGGGGTGGTGGGCGGATGTGAAGTTGATGTCTTTTAGTTAAGACATAAAATTGCGTGAACCGATCGGTGATGAAGAATGACTTAATTTTTTTTTGCGGGTTTCATTCGTTTGGTTTGTAGTTGTTGGTACTGACTATTGCACATCAAGTTAATTTTTAACTTGTTATGTTATGGGATTTAGTTAAATAATATCTTTGTGTCGCTATGCCATGGTGGCATTTTGGTAGTTTATCCATGCGCGCGTATCTCCACAAATAGCGGGCATGCATGCAAACCGGAATCGCAACAAAATCGCTGTGATTGATATCCCGGATATGTATGGATCAGAACTCCTGCTGATTCTACCTATATAAACTTCGTAATCCCTATTGTGAATTATGCAGCCATTGCGACCATGGATGGTAAACAAGAAACCGAATCCACTAATACTCCTGACGATTCTCCCACACACACACACCCACCATCGATGCCATGCTGCTGCGGGTGGAGCATGAAAGTGATCTCCCGAAGAGTTTAGGGTGTCAAGCCCTCCTCGTCCGTCGCCACCCCCTTACCCGCTGGCACCATCGATGGAAGAAGACAGGATGATCTACGCGGAGGATTTGGGGTACATGTCTACCCCATGCCTTTCTCCACCTTCAGATGTCAACGACCTAAATCCGCCTGAAGACCCCAACAACATAAGTGTTCTGCACCCAGCTTTCATCGACGACGGTGACATTGATATTATCCAGGAGGACATTTACAACTTTCGATATGACCAGACTCCTCCAAGAGATGCTCAGTCACCGGCAACCCGGTTCCTGCGCCATAAACGTGACTAGTTTTTTGTTTAGTTTACTTAATATTCGCCACTAACAATTTTATGTGTTAGACCATGTGTTTATCTATTCACATTGCCCGTACTCATAGACTTGAAGAATTTTATTTGTTGGTGTGCTGCCTTCCGCTTTTTTAGTGAATAAAAAGAATGTTTCCTTGACACCTATTTTGTGCCGTGGAATAGAATTGCAACACCGAATAGTGGAGTTAAACTATAACTTGTCAGCTTAGGTGATGATTTCCTCTGGTTTATGCAGGTGTTATAGTTAAAGAATAACTTTTGTTTTAGGTGCCTAATGTGCGCACACACTGTATGTGTTTTTAACGTTGGATTCCAGATCCAAATCGCACAAACCAAACAACAATGAAAAGAATGAAAAATGACTTAATTAATTTCAAATGAAATACTCAATGGTGAGTGTAAAACATCGTTTAATAATGGTAAAAAACAAGACGAGCAGCATAAAGACGGTGTTATATAAATTTATAGTGATTATACTGTCTTCATGCGGACTCGCTTTCATAACCACTGGAAGATTCGTCCGCATGTGCTTGCTCGTCGTCTGTAAAACCAGAACACTCTGCTGCATCTTCAGCCCACTCGTCGTCCAAACATCTTCGTAGCGAAGGGCCCTCTCTGTTGTATCTCCTTGTTGTACTAGCGACCGCAGTACTAGCCGTGCTTCCAGCATGCGTACCACGGCCTCTACCCTTGCCTGTTCCCCGTGGCCTGCCTCTCTTTCCCTTACCCCTTCTTGAAATTTGTAGGATTCTTCGGGCAAGTATCCGCGTAGTGCCCATCCCTCAGATGGCACCACCCACATTTCCTTATGCACAACTTTTTGCCCTTTGCTCCAAGTTGAACTTCTTCCTCCGGGCCACGAGTCCTTCCTTTTTTCCTCGACTTGGGGGGGGGGGCTCCCTGCTAATTTTGGCGATTTCAACTCGTCCAACAACGCCTTCCTGCATATTGGTGTCAACCGTCGCAGTAGTGTCGCGCGGTATCTCCTCTATTTGGCTGCGCAGTCCCTTCAAAATAGCCATAGCTTTGTCAAATGCTACCTTCGATTTGCATGCCGCCCTAACCACTCCAAACGCTTCAATCATCATCATGTTTGTCCTGTAATTTTCTTGAACACCATCGGTCCAGTTGCCTCTCGGTCATGCCTGTCAAATGGCACGTCGCTCTTCACTTTCTTTGTGTACCTCTTTAGGATGTAGGCAGCGGGTATCTTCTCAAGTTGTACATGAACAAATGCCCGGAGCATGTGTGTGCAAAACATGCCTACAAGACATAAAAAAAAAAAGAAATCAATTGGACCAGCTTATTTGTGAAGTGCGATAAAGGATTGCTGGAATTTTTAATGCGTGCATAAATCAAGCTTGAGGTTGGTATGAAAAAAGGACATGTATGCTCCCACTGTTTGCACTCGCATGTAAACACCCCTGCGTCAACATCTGCAATTAGCTTGAATTGCTTCTGACACCAATCGTGTTTTTCAGAACGTTTGGTGTGTGATACTATCCACCCGTTGCGGAAATCGTGGTCTTGTGAAATCCTCAAGTCGGTGCTGTCCTGTAGCGCCTCCTCAAACAATCTGAAAGCCGCCCTGGTGTACAGTCTCGACATCTGTATAACAAATGGCCACCTCACAGCCAACATTGGCTTTCCCTGCACAAAAGAGAAGTCATTAGTTGTGTGTGAGTTAAAGTTTAGGTGAATTATAAAAGTGATGTAATACCGAATCCCCTCTGTACAGAATATCACTAACCGAGCATGCTCTTGTTTCAGCAGCCTCCTTCTCCTTCCTATCAGTTATAACCTCCAACATTCTCCTAGCAAAACGGTGGAGCGTAGTTTGCTAGTCAACAAACTTGTGCTTCACCAACTTGTTCATGCTCTCACTGCGCTGCGTGGACGTCATCCTCCCGCAGTAGTCCTTCCTGAAGAACGCAGGCACCCACTTCTCCCTGATATCATATAAAGCTTTCATGATGGGACAGCCCTCCAAATCATACCTCTTTAAGAATTGATCCCAGGATGTTTCAAACTCATAAGGTTTGTAAGTTTGATTGATGCACAACATCATGTCTGGTTCAATTTGTTCGTTCCGTTCAAAAATTGTGTTCAGCGGGTCAGAGTGGCAGTTAAGGATATGCCATCGACACAGCCGGTGTATTATCCCAGGGAAGCACCTTCCAACAGCGACAGCCATTGCAGGATCTTGATCTGTAAAAAAAAAAGAAATGGCGTAAAACATATCATACAGGATGTGAAGATAAATGGGAGTAACGCAAATATTTTATGGTGGATGACAGTAGGAAGGTTTATTTAAATAGACTTGCCTGTCAGGATGCAGCGCGGAGCAGGGAAATTCGCCATGCACTTGTTGAAGGTGTTGAATAACCACTCAAATGACTCCGCCTTTTCGTCTCTGAGCAAGACACATCCAAACAGTGTGCTCTGCATGTGGTGGTTTGCACCAACAAACATTGCAAGTGGCATTTCGTAAATATTAGTTTTGTACGTGGTGTCGAACGTTACCGCATCTCCAAAGTCGGCAAATTCAGCTTGGCTGCTATCATGACTCCAAAAATAAGTTTTTAATGACACCATTTTCATCGAGCTGGGCGTCCCAGTAAAACTTTGGGTTTTGCAACGTGCACTCGTTGAAAAACTCCAACAGCTTGTTGATGTCGTTTGCATTTTCCATCCGGACATTGGCTGCTTTCCTGCGTCGTTAAGTTAAAAAAGAACTAATTGAAATCAACATGTGTGACTCCATGCAAGAAAACACCATAAATACTTCAGGAAAGCAACATCACAAAAAAGGAAAAAGGGGTTATTTTGAAGATTCACCTGTTCTCTACGTCGCGGGTCGTGAATGGGATTTTGTCCAGGCCTCCATGAAGATCATATAGAACGCCCATGATACAGCTTTGCGGCACGTGACTTTCTTGCATTATGTCCACAATCTTCATAGCCGTGTCATCATGATTCTTATGTGCACGCATGGGCTTTACCGCCGAAGGAGATGGCGTTAGAGGGTGGTTGTGCTGTAGCTCGACCACATCATACTGTACCGATGAGAGCACGCCACCGTCATAGTTGTGCCTCAGCTTCACATAAGCCTTGCACCCCATTTTCTTGGATGGTTTCTTCCGTTCTCTATCACAATCTGCGACCTTTGACACATGCTTGCCCTCTCTCGTACAACACACCTCGTGAATCGATTTGTGCGTGCGGCTCTTCTTGATGTCAAAACCAGCGTGATATGCATATGTCTTGTAGAAGTTGTATGGATCGTCGTATGTAGGGAAAGCCATACCTTTGGTGGGCACCATGTGCGGTGGCACGCAAGGACCCTGTTGAATAATAAACGAAAAATTCGTACTTAAATGGACGATGAATAGTTGAAACATTACGAAAGTTTTGAGACCATTCAAAATTTATTGTGGCTGCTGAATATGACATGTGGAGTGCCAGTTAAAAAATGGCTTGTGGCCATTTGCTAGCGTATTCCTGATGTGTGATAAGCCGGTGGTACTGTCATGTGCAATGTGTAAGTTAAAAAATTACTTGCGTATTCTTGTTACTAATTCTTTGAATAAATGAAAATACCTAGCAAGAGTGGTAGATTCTCAGTTATAAATTAACCTATATCATGAATATATCGTTATTAGATGTTCATAAAACATAGATGGTCTTGGCATGGGTATTGAGTTACATTTTAACTATTGAAAGCGATAAAAGATGCTTCTCGGTAAAGAATCAAACACGTGGGGTATGGATCATTGTGAAAGTAAAAAAATAACTTGATTCTTCATGAAGCTAATTATTTAAAGTAAATCGAAAGTACATAGCACGAGTGCTAGGTTTAGAGCTATAAATTAACTTATAGTATGAGGTTATCACTCTTAGATGTTTGCACAATATAGTTGGTCCTGCCTTGGGCGTTGAGTTTTTTTGGAACTATCGAAAGCGATAAGAAATGATTCTCGGTAAAGAATGTCACAGTGAAGGTATGTCATGAAAAGTGGTAACCATATAGAAACATCACATCATTCTACGATTTGTGGGATACTTAGTTTCGTCATACGAAAATAGCAACAAAAAGAAACATTAAACGTGGTTGGACAAAGTGTGCGTTTAGTGCAAAACTATTGCAATGTAGCCGTCGTAGATGATAACCACTAAAAAATGGGTTTGAAGGAATGGAACTTACATGGCTATATACCCTATTCGGCGTGGGGGTTGCAATGTCGTTGTCATCCAAACACGGTGGCATCCCTCGAGAGCAAATGTCTCCTGCTTGGTGCATGGGGGTGCATTGTTGATCGAGGAGTGACTAGCGGAGCAGACGACGTGGCGCTGGTGATCTCCGGCGACGCCATGAGCAGCCAAGGAAGAGCCGCCGCTGGAAGGATGTGCTCCGAGTGCCACCACTAACTGGCAGCTAGCATGGTTTATGATTTTTTTTTTATTTTGTGTAGTGTTTCTCTATGGACGGATGCTTTGGCAATAATGACGGATCTGCATGGGTTGCACGTCCGGTTTTGTGGTGTTTAATTTTGAAAAGAAGGAATCGTGAGTTAATTGTACGGTAACGATTTGTCCGATAAATGCTCAGGCCGTTTCTTTTTTTTTTTCACCGAACTAATTATTTTGAAACAAACGCTGTGGTGATAATAAACGGTACTGTCAGATTACGAGTTGTAAATAGACTATAGTGTAGTGAAATTGTCGCGACCGAGAAAATTGCATTTTCCCGAACGCTAGTGTATTAATCCCCGTCCCAGGAAAAGCCGGGGTACACCATACAAACATGATATAAAATACACATCTTTATTATATCGATAATATTTACATTATTACAAAGGCACTTAAGGCCTGACAATCAAAAATAAACAGCAGCGGACTAGCGGGCCTACGGCTCCATCTTCACAGGCGCTCAACTGGGGTATAAGCCAAGACTCCACCTAAGGCTTCTTCTCCAAAGCTTCTCTTACTGAAGAGGGGAGAAAGATAGAGAAAGAATGAGTACAACCACAGTACTCAGCAAGTCACACCGGCAGATGCATGATTAACGCAAGGGGGTACAAGGGGTAATGATATAGGGGTTAAGTTTTGCAGAAAACAGCATTTAAAGATATTTAGTTGCTCAAAGCTATTTCGTAAACACGATTCTAGAACTATACAATATTATTTATCAAGGCCGTGAACCCTCACGAACCTGCCTTAACCCAAGGCCTACGATGATTCAGACCGAACTGGCAACCCGACCCTGGGTCCCAGCTCGTCCCAAGCCAACCCAGGCCAACCATTCCACATTTTAGTTATTGAGCAAATTTTAAGAATTAAAACACTAACTTGGGTACATTGCTCGGCTTGCCCATAACCGAGGGCGCGGCTATTCGAATAGGTTTTACTCTGATCAGAGGTGTACATCTTTACCCACAAGACACATCTTCCTCACGTGCACCACGTGCCACATACCACCACGGTATACAGACGGAAGACGTGACATAGTTTCCAACCCATCCTAGCCATAGACAAGAGTACCGACCCAACCCCACCTACGGCCGGAACCTCCGGGACAGGTAGGCAGGATTGAGCCCCTAGCAGCAGGACACCAGCCCTGTGCCATAACATCTCGACTACCGGGCCGCAGCTCGTGTAGCCTTCATTTGTCCTAGAGATGTCCATCGACCCCCGACTTCGTCCATCTCCATCCGTGTACTTTTGTTTATAACCAGACTGAGCCACAAACTAAGCCTTACCCACTAGACATGTGGAAGTACGGTAGTACTTTGCAACAGAGGCCCGAAGACCGGTCCTTATATGGCCGAGGTGCTACTATCAAAACCATGCACCCCGAGCCCAGCCTAAAACCATTTTGGGGATTTTGAATAGAGGGGGCGGTGTGAATCCAATTCCACAATAAACCAACAATTCCAAAGTGTCCAGGTGATATGAATATTCCCAAAGTCTAGAGTTGAAAAACCACCTAAAGTTACCTAATTAAAATAGCGAAGCATCTACCTAAAATCATACTAGTGATACCATGAGTAGAGTGTCCACTAGTTGGGGTTTTGTTTATTCTAGGGTGAACAAGGTAATAATAACAATAACAATAATAATAAGGTCATAACAAAGGTAATTAGGCATGGCTAAATAAAACAGTGATAACGCGGGAATTTAAATAAAGCGATAATGCAATAATTTAAATCAAAATAATTTTATAAACTGGGACTCAATATGTTCAAGGATGATGTGACTTGCCTTGCTCGCTTCAACTTCTACGAAGAGCGGATCTTGACTTGACTTGACTTGACTTGCCGTCGGCTTCAACTTCTACGAAGAGCGGATCTTCCGAAGCTGCAGCGTCTACACGACCAACGGAAAAGAAAAGGCTTTTACTCTAATAAACTCCATATAACAGCAGAAACAAAGCACAAAAATGGGTTCTTGACTTCTTAAGAAAAAATTAGAGACTTGAACGGTCCAATTCCGAGTTCAAATGGTCAAGTTATGGCCATTTGAAGTTTATATGCTCTTTAAATGGATATTTGCGAATTTCTTCATTTAAATTTTAATTAAAAAATCGGATTTATTGCGTCAGCCGGGAGAGAGGGCGCGCGGACCGGGTCCACGGGAGTGGGGCCCACGCGGCAGCCTCACGGTCCACGGTGGACCGGGTGCACGCGGCTTGCGCCGGCCGGCGCCGTGGGTCCCACGCGTCAGCCGCACCCGAGGGCGCGGGCGGCTGACGGCCGGGCCCCACCTGGCAGCCGCGGGGCGCGCCCGAAGGCGGCCTCGCCGGCACGGCCGACGGGAGGCGGCGCGCCCGCGCCCCTATGGTCGCCGGCGGCGGCCATAGGCACGGCGGAGCGGCGGCCGAGAGAGGGGAGGGAAGGGGGAAACGAAATGGCGGTCCTCGGCTCACCCCGGGTCGACGGCGACGACGGGAACGGCGACCGAAGCGGAGAGAGGCGGCGGCGCGGCTCAGGTCGACGAGGACGGCGGTGCTCCGGCGGTCGGCGGGCGAAACGGAGGAGTGGACGAGGTCGACGAGAACGCGGCGAAGCCGAAGGAGGCGATGCCGAAGCGGGAGGAGGTCCGGGGCGACGACGGCGGCGAACCGGAGCTCGGCGGCGACGGCGGAGAGAGAGGACGACGGCGCGGGCTCGATTCCGACGGGGAGAGAAAGCGGCGAGTGGCGGAAACGGAGGAGGGAGGCATGGGGAGCGTTTAAATAGGGTTGGGAGTGAGAGAGGGCGGCCGGAGGGGAAGGAAATCGGCGCGGCGATCTCGGGCTCCATTGATGCGCCGGCGAAGTTCGCGGGAGTAAATCCGAACGAATCCGAGAGAGAGAGAGAGGGAAAAGTGGGGGAAAGAGGGAGGGAATCACGGGGAGTGATTTCCCCCTCTTTATGGCGCGCGGGGACGGCGGGATGCGGCGGATTCGGCGGCGGCGGCGGCGCTAGGGCACGGGCGGGCGGCGGGAGCGGCGGAAGGTAGGGGATGACGGGTGGGCCCCACCCGTCAGCGAGGGTGGCGGGCGGGCCCGCCCGTCAGCGGCACGCGCGCGGGGGAAGGCCGATGGGCCGCGGGGGAGAGGAGAGAGAGGGAGGGAGATGGGCCGAGCCGGCCCAAGAGGGGGAGGGGGGGGGGAAAAAAAGACTTTTTAGGGTTTTTCTTTTTATAAAATCATTTTAACTTTGTTTATTTCTTAATAATTATTATTTGTGCTCTGAAAATTCCACTAAAATTTGAGGGCTCCTTTTAGACCAAGGAGAATTTAACAAAAATTCTCCGGGTCACATTTGAATTTTTCTTGTTCGTATTTTAGTGTTTGCCAATTTCTTTTCGAATTTTAATTAATTCTATTATTCCTTTTAGCGAATGATTTTTAATTCGGGATGAATTTATCAGGACGTGACAGAAATCCTTAAATATGAGCTCGTCGTTGTCAGGACGTCCCAAAGCCTAGGTGGTGCAACGCTCCAAGGCATGTCGGCGCGAAATATCTGGATGGATGGGGTCTCAAATAAAGCCCAAATAAATACGGTAACCATCCAACCTCATTGCAGACCCCGACATGTCTTGAAGAGTGCACTACATAGGCTCTAAGCCATCGGATATGAAATAGAAGACACAACCGTTGGAATAGCCACACCAGCCATCTACGTCATACGCCCGTCAACCACTCGATGTTGGCGACCAAAAGCGTACTCCAGAGACTCGATCTCAACAAAGGCATATTCCCCGGTTATCTCAACCATTTCAAACCCATCCTCATGTGGGACTAGTTGCCCAGGAATGCAACATAGTCTCACATAAATCATCTCAAGCATGATATCCAAATAATAAGTGGTTCTAAGCAATAAGCATAAATAGTCTTAATAAGGTTCTAAGTAGTACTTGGCGACAAGCCATAAATATTGGTTCATGCGGTAAGCGTGCTACCCAAAAGCCCATGGGCAAACCGACTAGGGTAAATCCCTAGTTAGAACCATCCTGAAAATCTGCAACATCACAAGCTGCATCAAACTCCTCATCCAAACAGTCATTACCTGCAGCGGGGTCTGAGCAAAAACAAGTAAAAGAAGGCAAGAAATCAGTACATTAATCAAATTAATGTACTGGCATTCGGAAACAATCCTAGCATACTACATGTTGGCCATATTCAAGGATAAGCAGTGTATAGGTTAATTTGCATAAATGCCAATTTTAGTTCACAACATTTTCCGCAACGGAATTTTATAACAATAGTATAGAGTAAGTAAAACTTGTAATGTCAATGAATAAATAACACACATCTACCCCTCAAGGTAGATCATCACCACTCACCGTCATCTCATCACCATTCACCGAACTTTACCCAAGTTCACAGCAAAACATTCCAACCATTTTCCAAGTTCACAAGAGTTTATCAAAATCACCGACTATACTCATGACACTTCACCATGCCGCTCATGACCGTGAGCACGGCTAATCGATTAGTTTTAGACTCTGCAAAGTTTGTACAACTTTTAAGCCCACATGATATGAATCGCTCTAGTTTGTCCGATACCCGTCGGTATCACCACACTCTACACATTGAGTGTGATCTAGAGGTCATAACGAAACCGTTACATTGTTTATTGTCTAGCCTTGCACCAGCACGATGTGTGTTTTACCCACGCTACTAGCAAGCTAGCGCCACTAGGTAGCGGGCCCACGCTTTAACCTAGCGCCGTAAGGATCCCAGCCCGGAATCCCTCACGAGGCACGACACCGTTGTATTGGACAGACTACCCGCTCAAATCATCACATACCACATGTCATTAATCAATTTCATCATATCACAAACCATAGGAAGTTCCGATAAGTTACCAAAACCCGGTAACCCATACCCTTTGGACTACCAAGATGCAAGGCTAAACTCTAAACAACTTAATAGGTCGAGACCAGCCCATACTTAGCACATGTGGTTTGTACTGTTTTCATTAGTTGGTGACATAGAGTGGGGTCCTTAATCGACCCGGGCGAACGCTCTCCCTATCGGTGTACAACTACCACCATATGTACACCACTCGCCGCCCAAGTTTAAAAACAAGTTATCTCCATTTTCAGTTCACAATACTCACACATTTAAATTTCTGTCCAGCAACATCAAAATAACCATTTTCACATATAACATTTATCAAAACGAGTAATTTGCAAGGCGGTAACCGAATATAAGCATATAGCGGCAATATAAGCATAGTATAATCCCAAAGAACACAATAATTGTATTCAAAAGCACTTTATGGTTACAACCAGCAAGGATTCAATATTTCAAGGTGAATTATGCAGCAATTAGGTCATATCTACCATTCCCACATTTATATAATTTTTTTTACCAAAATTAATACTAGCTAACGTATGCATGTTTGCAATAGAATTATTTAGCCCAATAAAGCATAGGATCAATGTGATCAAAGGAGGGGCAAACTTGCCTTCGTCTGCAAACTCCTGAACCTGGTCGTCAACAAACTCACCCTCTTCTTCTTCGACGTATTCTTCCTCTATACAAAATACGCGTATACGATAAATACAAAAATGCATAAAAACCAAAATGCAAGAAAATGCATGAAATTTATGCAGTGAGTGTGTGCTGGTCTCAGGTGGTCTCTGGTGAAGGAATTTTTATTTTATCACTTTTTATTTACAGAGATATGCATTTTACAATTAAAAAGGTTTAAAAAGGGCTATGTTTTATTAAGCAGCATTTTTGTACAGAAGTGAACAAAATTCCTTTTACAAAGTTACAGAGAATGATTTTAGAAAGTTAAAAGAAGTGATTTCACAATTTTTAGAGCTATATTAAATTTGTTATGGATTTAACAAGTTCTAGGCAACATTTATGGCAAAACAAAAATAAAGGAAAAGTTTGTAGAGAAAGTACCCAGTTTTATATTTTCGTAAAATATTTCACAGCTTTATGGATCTAACAAAACTGGTTTCACAATTTTTGAAGTTAAAATGAATGTTCTACAAATTTTAGAAGTTCTGCTTATTCTCTGCTTTAAACCAAAATAGAAATCAATTTTCGAAATTGAATTCCAGCCGGGTCGACAGGTCAGTGAAAGGAGATTTGTAGAGAGGCCCTCAGAAGTTGGGGGAATCATCCCGCACTCCTTCTGCCACCTGGACAGCAAACTTTATTAAGAGTCCCTATTCTTTTGTTTATTTCCATCAAGATCCTGCTATAGTAATATGAGTCATGGCAGTTTTCAGATTGGACCCTAGATCAAATTCAAGAAATGAAGTCCCCAGCTAGCTCACATCAGGAGCAGCCATGGCTGAGCTCGGTCTACGGCTCACCGGCGGTGATCGGTGGATCGAATCGGTTTGAGCACAAAAGAGAAAATATATAGAACGTTCTTGCGCATCCATGAGTGGTGGTGGTGAGGGAAATGGTGGTCTGTAGCCCATAGAACATGAGCTACAGCGGTGGTGTGTCTCGGTATGCCCATATATGTGCATGCAGAGGCTTGGTTAGTGCAAAAGGGTTAGTGCATGTGCTCTCATATGGTACCAGGGTGCTCACCAAGCAGAGAAACGGAGGCAGCAAGGTCCAGGGAGCGGCGGAGACGGTGGTTGATGGCCAACGGCGGCAAAACTCCGGCGTCGACGTCGCCGGGTCGACTCAAGGCGCGAACTGTAACTTTTAGAGTACGGGGGTGTTAGGGATGAGCCACAGAGGGTGCATGCGCGAGAAATCCAGCGGAAACTCACCGGAGCTTGGTGTTGCTTCGGTGGTGAGGAACGGCGGCCGGAGCGGCGTCGGCGGTTCGGGTGGCCGGCGGCAAGGACGGTGACGCCCACCACGTGCTCGACAGGTTGGTCCTAGGGCAAAATGGGTACGGGTGAGCTCGGCGTGAAGCGTAGGTCACGTTCCATAGATGGGAAGAGAGAGGGACTCACCGGGGATGCACGGCGACGACGGCTAAGTCGCCGGAGCCGGGGAGGATGGCCGAGCTCTAGGCATTCTGTGCGTGGGGTGTGTTTTCTTGGACTTGGAACGCGATGTGGGGAGTGTGCTGTTGCTTCTGGTGCTTAGGCTTGGGAAATAAGGAAGAGTGGAGTGGGGGAGTGAGAGAGAGAGAGAGGTGGCTGGTGCACTCATTGTGTTCCTTGAGCATCCATTGGGCATGGGGGACGGTGTTTGCTGTGAGGGGAGAGTGGGAGGCTGTCATATGGGTCCCAGGGGGTGTGGGGCCCACTGTCAGTGAAAGATTCGAAAATAGCCTTGGAGGCCAAGTCAAAGAGGGTTGCCTGCCAAGGATCTTTGGAAGGGATTCAAGGTGGATTTTGTGCAGCAAGAAATCTGGGCTAGGTATCCTCTTGGTCTGGGGTGATGTGGAGAGTAAATGTGCTGAAGTGGGTTGAGTTAGAAGTCTCTAGTTTAGGTTTGATGGAGTGATGAACATGTATTGACAGTGTTGGTTAGCAGCAGTTGACAGTGTAGTTAGCAGTTGATTGGATTTTTGGAGGGAGAGAAGAAAGGGTTAGAGAGTGATCCAGGGTGTGCCACTCCTCAGGGTGTTAGAAGAAAGTTAATAGAAGACTTTGGCTGAAACCAAACATCAAAAAGAGGTTTTGAAATAAATTTTACAGAGAGAGCAATTTTGAATCTGCTAAGCAGTTTTTCAGGATTTTGGAGAGATTAAAGTAGATCATCAAGTTAGCAAACCTTATTGAAAACTCTGAAAATTTGTGGGTTGATTTCTGACATATCAATGTATTTTTGAGAATTTTTGTGGAATTTTTGGATGCATATAATTTACCAGATTAATTGTTTTTGTGACTCTAGGCCTATCAAGATGCATGTGATGATGAGATGATTATCTACCCTATAATTGAACAAATGGTTTTACTCATTTACTCATTCATCATATCACACATCTAACGGTGTAAAATCAACTCATGAGTTAGATCGGACGTCCTAGATGCGCGCGTCGCACCTCATCCTCTCTCTCTCTCTCTCTCTCGCCTCTGCCGCAATCGACGCAATCACCGCTGCTCCTTCCCCCTCCCCCCACCACCGGCGAAACCCAGACCCACGCCGATCCCTTGCGCGCCGCCACCAGGGCCCTCTCCGCCGCTCCACAGCGTCGCCAGCTGATAGTCCCGAGGAACCCCCCCCCCCCCCCGCCCCCCGGGTATCGTCCGCGGCTTCCACCGATCCCTCTCCCCTTCTCGCATGCACCGCGCCGCCACACATCCTTCTTAGATACCTAGACCGAGCGCTCGCCATCGCCGTCACGCCGATCCTCCGCCTCTCGTGTTGCCGACGCCCCGCCATTGCCCGCATCGATCGGCGCCACACATAGGTGCTGCCTTCGTGGCTTAGTGCCGCCTGGGAGACGATATCCGCGAAGTACGTGATGCACTGATGCACCCCTCTGCTGATGACCACCGGGACAACCTATGCGGAGCTGCGTAGCACGCCCCCCTTTCCCCACCGCTGCCTCTTTCCCCAACGACTTCACTGTTTTCTAGATCTGTGACGCTTGGATGTTGACGACGACGCTGTCACGGGCTCACGGCGCTCGGCCATGTCTGGGATGTGCAAGCCAGTTTCCCCTGCTCGATGGGCGTCATGTCCAGGGATAGCTGATGCGGCAGGTTACCTAATCTCTTTATCCACATTTCCTTGTACATATAATTTGTTTCCTTTTGATATTCATCTAATTGAGTTTATAAGCTTTATTGTACAGTTCATGTGAACACTATAAATCTGCATCACCAGATTTAAACAAGACATTAAGGTTAATGAAATGTAATCTTTTAGCAAGAGCAACTCTGTCTTTCGTATCAATTTAGATTTAATTACAGAATATATTTCAAGTGTAGATGTGTGCGGTGTGCCTATATAAGGGCTTCTCTATCTTTGTAATCTTTTAGTTTGACATTCATTTGCACAACTTTATTAGGTTAACGCTGCAAGCTGCATTGGTTTAAGGGTGCTTTCTTACTACATGCTACACAAGATTCTTGTTGCAGGGCTGCTTGTCTGAATGCAAGTAGTACCGCATTAGGCTCTCAGTGTTCCAGCGTACTGCTGTTTCACACATCAAAACTGTTTCAAGGGAAATTCAACACAATATCCCATTATTCTGAAGAACAGAACTGTTTGCCCACAAAACATTTCTACTATGATAAGATAGGTGTTCTAGCGTGTAAACGGTTGTATGTTCTGAAATAATCGCTTCTGTTATGATAAGATAGGTGCTCTTGGCAAGTAGACTCTGCTTACATGTTCTCTCTAAATTCACAATTGCTCACTGTAAAAGAAACACTGTTTCCTGAATCTGAAATCTTCTTCCATGATTAAGTAGGCTAAGCTTGATATTTTATCCAAACCTTTAGTTGGCTAAAATGATATATTTATCTACATATGACTAGATGTTGTGGCGTCTTAATTTTGCTTTTTACCAGGACAACTGGTTAAGGGAAATATAAAGCACCTGCTGCATATGAGGAGCACCAAAAGTAATATGTAGAAGGCCGTGTGTGGAATTTTGCTACAAACGCAAGATTTCTGCAGTGGAATTTGGTTGTGTTTCTTCATCTACTGGTTGGATGCGGAAGCTTATCATGCAGGTAAACGTCTGCTGCTACTCAGAGTAGAAGCATCTCTGCAAGATATTTCTTATCCATTTTCATGTCAATACTCATAAGGTGCAATTGAACCATGATGCATAAATATCTTTACAACTATATCTGAGAAGGAATTGTTGATAATTTGTTTCTGTTTCAGTAGCCAAATTGCTGAAAAGTAGAAACATTGGTATTCAGGCGAAGGTATTCCAACTTTACTTTTGGGTAGTTTGTGAATATGGGTTCATTTATGCAAACCAGAAGTGGAAGTGGGACTCATAAGATATTAGTGTATAATCTGCGATACATGTACTTGAAGTGGAAGTGAATGGCATAATGGCTTTGCTTAAAATTAGTTTCAATATGGCATGATACGAGATGCCATTGTCAGGACACTTATTTAAGCATGCCATTGCATGATATATATATCTGTTCTTCACATCCAGTACACCGGCAGGTACTCCTTAATTTCATTTCATTGAGCTTTTGTACAATGGTTCTCAGAATTTTTTTTTGTTATATTCCTTAATGGCTTCACTCAAATGCTTCTTGCAGGGGAAGAAGAGTTATATGCAGCCCATTTAATTTCTAAGATTTTTGTAGACAGCATCAGATAGTACTGTTTGTTGTTTGCCATGGAGGTGCGGCAGCAGGGCAAGTAGGAACACATGTATACTCCATTCCAAACTTATAACTTCACTAGGCCATGCAAACTTGGATAAAATAAGTTAAGTATTGGATGGATGGAAGTTGCTTCTATCTATACTATAAAAAACCCTTGTAGCTGATTCGGTGTGGGTTGTTGCGCCCCTCGAAGGTACTCTTGGCAGCCACCGTGTATTGATCTGATCGTCTTGATCACAGACACTGAAACTTTATAGCGGTGACTTTTTTCGGTGGATTAATTTGTTAAATCAAATACCACATATATTAAGGTAAGGTCAGGAAGGCTGCGGCTTCCACTTGATTGGTACTCCATAATAGTGCCAAGTAAAATCAGTCTCACTCTGTAGTGGTAGTTGAATGAAGTTCAGTTCCTTATAGTATATGTTGCTTTTCAGATTTTTGTTTACTTCTCATTCTGTCAGACCAAATCATTCTACAGAAGAAACAAATAGCACATATTTTATTAGTCTGTAGAGAAACTTGCCTTTGCAATGACATAGAATGTACTGATACAATCAATACATAGTGTAATGAGATGTATATATAAGATTAGGGCCTGGAATGTGTGGGAAGTAAAGTGGATTGGGACATGGTCTGAATCCAACGATTAGAAAATTAATGTTAGGGAAGATAAACATACAAATATTATACAGATAATTTTCTAAAGCTATGTTTCTTGACATCACTTGTTCTGGATAAATATGTATCTCACATTCAGTGATAGCATGTTTATCTTTGTCTCTTGCTGATTAGGGTTGCATTATTTTAGTTAACATATTTCCTGTACAGAAGAGATACTGGATGGTATATTTATCTTTGCCTCTTGCCGATCAGGGTTGCATTGTTTTGATTAACAACATATTTCCTATATAGAAGAGATATGTAATAACACTGAAACTCATTAGGTCTTTATATTAAAAGGACATATTTCTTAGAAGAGAGCTTATCTAAGCATGGAAGCATGGTTGAGGCCAAAAATGGCATTGGAAGAGAGCTTGTCTATGCATGGAAGCAGGGTTGAGGCTGTGCTGTAGCATGTAGGTTGACAACTTGACAATGTTAAATGAAGGTTGTGCCAAAGTGGCGGATGCTACGACGAAGCAAACATATTAAAATTAATAAAGTTGTAGCAGTAGAAAGATAATATGAGGTAATACTGCATTTCTTTTTTTCTGTACACATGATGACTCAACTATAATCAAAGGATGTAGCTGGCTATTTATACTTCAGATGGCCTTGATAGAACTTTTGGCTCGCGGAAGGATGTATGCCGCTGGAAAGCAGAAACGCATCAGGAATGGCTTGCAGCTTGCTGACAAATACTTAGCTTGAATGCTTGAATCAGCGATAACCAAAAGAGTATTATAGTCACGGCGGTATTTGATAATGCAAATCAAATAATCAAAAGACAATATATGTTTCAGTAAAGGAGATTGATTTAAGACATGCAAAAGAAGTAATAATGATAAGAAGAGTTATATATTTTGTTGTTAATACGTCCTGTTATAAATATTTGAGGTTTACTCTCCAGCAGGGTTTACAAGAAAAATCAAACTTATTAGACTGGCAAAAATGTTTGGTTTTGTGTTTTCAGCAAGTTTAAAAATTCGAACTGACTTTAAATTTTTGACAAAATTCAACCATATTTTACCAGAAGTCAATGTTTTTTTTGTAGTAATCAGTTGGGTCGTTAACGGTGCATACTTACCAAAAAAAGATTCATACTTGTCTATCTTAATTTCTTGAGGAATAACTCAACCATTCTTTTTTGTGTGGATATGCATTGTCCTCATACAGTGTATATTGAATTGATTAGATATAATCATTGATGATCTTGAATAAATAATTTTAAGTTATATCATAATATTTTTTTTTGATATATGACCTTCATATAGTGTATATTAAATTGATTAGATATAATCATTGATGATCTTGAATAAATAATTTTAAGTTATATCATAATATTTCTTTTTTATATATGACCTTGGACTGAAAGCTTAAATGGACAGATTCTAGGAAAATTATTTTCATTGCAGTCGAATTTTAATAACTTATTAAGAAAAAATGTTATGACACCGTAACGTTAGTACGGACATATTACTATTAAGATCCAAAAACAATTAAAATCACTCCACAACCACATGATGCATTTAAATTAAATTTAGTTCTCAGGTTTATAGGCTTGGGTATGTTACAGTCGTGGTGTAGATTTGAATGCCAGTTAAATTTTAACTGATATTACCTGTGGCAATAATAGTTAAAGTTTTACTTCTAGCCGATAGTTAAAGCTTTTGGATACACCACGGAGAATTTTAGTGTGTTTGCTACTAATAGTTATTTTTAACTATTATTACGGGCACACGTACGAGTAAGTATACATAGATTTTCTTGAATCCTTTTATTTAATCTCAGCAGATCGATGGTCAGGATGGGAATGGCGAGTAATTCTTTAACTTAATGCTTCGTAAACTTGGATGGATTATGTACAGGTTGCCCCCTATACGCGAAACTAGTTTTTTTTTACTCATCATCGGGTTCGTGCCTGCAAGATTGATTTGTGCTTTTGAGAGTAATTTTTTTAACTAATATTCTGTTCTTCCAGTGAAGCAAGCTACGTCCGTTTGTTGGGCAATTGCTTGACTCTTCACGTAATAACCTTTGAAGTGTTTGAAAACATTAGGCGGGATGAAAAAGGAGTTATTTTTTTAACTTTACTCACAGTGGAAACACGGATTCTTTTTCCTCATAGATAGTGGGGTATACATGTTCAGTTAAAAAGTAACTTGTGTGTTGACTCTGGTGAATTCATTGAATGTACCTTGCCGAAGTCAGGACCTTATTGGTTGTGCTAGGCGAGTTAAAAATTGACTCCAATAGGAGGAAACACAAAAAATAGGGTTTTTGTTTTTCAGACTAGTGGATTGAAGTTGACAGGTACCAATAGTCATAATGCATGCCGAGCAAAAACACATGTCAGGATATGCACCAACCTTGACATTCTATAAGGGGTCATCACACTAACCAGTACCATTCGAAATGTACAGTGACAAACACCAAAAGAAACATATATAGTGAGACCACACTAGTTCTAAGCTATGGTAAAGACATCATGTATCCCAATGAAAAAGTTTTTCCAAAAAGGTAAAGCATGACTGTTTTTTTAGGCCGCAGGATCGATAACATCAGTTCCGCGGAACTTCTAGATATCGGAATGGAGAGGCGCGGCTTGGTTGTACTCGCTGAACATCAGCTGGTGCAGGGTGCTTGACCGGACAATCACCGAGTCAGTCTGCAAAACACATGTTGGACGTGAATTGGTATAGAATAGTGTGGAAATGAACGACGAATGAGTCAGTATACAAATGTAAGGGGGTGATTGCTATAGTTACCGGGATGGAAAGATTCTCGATGGATTCCATGTTGCCGTCGTAAGCCTCCATGAACCGCATGATATAGAAGGCGCAGTCGATGGAGCAAATTTGTATTTTTGGGCACTCCATCATGTTCTTCCTAAAGCCGCCGAACCTGCAGAAGCTCTTCGGCACTACCGCCTGCAGCGCATCGCTCAGACGCTTGACGATGCGTTTGGCCAACGCACCATGGTGGTCGCTTACCAGTGTTCCGAGCAAAGTGTAGTTGTTTGTATCCATTATGTCAACCAGCCTGTGTGCAATGTTGATTGCATCTAGAGACCAGTGATAGTGGTGGAGCACAGGAACCATTATCTGTCCATTCAGTGTTTGGAAGTAAAGAAACGAAACTTACAATAGCATTGCTGGGTTTAAAAGATGCTCGATGCAGGGGAAAAAAGTAGACATGGCATTAGTCTTTATGCAAAAATTAATAACTAACCAATGCTGGATGTAGTCGCGCAAGTTTCCGGCCAAAGCATCAGTGGAAAATTTGTATCTTTCCATTTTGTTTGATAAAATCAATGTTCAGGAGAAACTGCAAAAAAAAAAAAGTGTGGCCATGTGTTGGTGTGAACCAAAAGAGTCACATCTCGCGAAAAAAAAGAACAGAAAAACAATCATGTTGCTGCACCGTACGAAAAAAAGGAATACAGTAGAAATTGGCGTTATTCACGTTACTGATATGGAAGTCGGAATGAAAATCCTTTTTCCATAATTATCTAGCCTGTACTTCATGTCATCCTTGAATAGAATCGAGCTGAACACGTCTATGAAAAGCTCCTCTGTCAGGCTCCCGTCGGAGAACGATTCCAGCACATTGTTTCCATACGCAACAGAGCTGTCGATCTCTAGCAGTTTCACGCTGCAAGCATACCAGAAATATTAACATGTAAACCCGTAATCTAAGCAAGGAAAAAAAAGGTGGTCCGCGAAAAAATATGATGCACCATATGCACATCATCAAGGTGATGATGAACACCAACCTGTCCATACGACCACCATTGGTCAGTAAGAAGTGCCTGAGCTGGATGCTAAGCGACACGTCCGATGACGGCATACCGGGGCCAACAACCACCGGCGAAACAAATATTGCCGGCTCTTGTATGAACCGCTTTGGCAGAGACCATGGCGTTGAATTTACGTCGTTGGTGTCAGGCATGGTCTCGGGCAAAAGCTGCCAAAAAAACACAATAATTGTGTAAGGGGAAAAAATGTTAACCGAAAGTAGAGGACGATCGGACAAAGTATAATTTTAACTGCCATCTACCTGTGTATCGCTGTATGAACCATCAAAGCACAGCACAATATAAGAGTTGACTGCTCCTTTGATATGTAGCAAAAGGACAGATAGTTGTAAACTTGGGTAAGAAAAGGTTTGCAGTTAAAAGATAACTACCAGCTGTGTCATTGTGATAAGTATAGTACAGAGTTTTCCTGGTATTAGTTAATTTTTTCCTTTAATTTTTGGTAGATTGTGCTATAGCAGATAAAAGTTTGTGATGATCCTAACAAAAATAATGAACTAAAGAGTTTAGTTCAAATTTTACTCATAATGATATTTTCTTGATTTCTCATCCATTTCCAGTGAGGTTGTTTATTTGAACCACTAGCTTAGTGGTTCCTTGATCAGTGAAGTTAATAAATGACTATCTTACTGCAGTTTGCAACTGGAGAAAACACCTCACATATTGCCTCAGAATTAAACTTTTGGTGCGTACTGTTTGACCAAGCAGACAATCCCTAAGTGCTCATGCTCAAGTTGATGACAAAAAAAAATGTGTCCAGAGGAAACCCAAACTACGAGAATATGATTTGATGCAATGAAGCACAAGTGAACTCGACGAATGGGATGTTTGAGAATACAACCACGGAGAATGTAGGAGCCCCCTCGAGCCTGCAAATCTCCTTGATTTTCTCGTTCACTTGTGTGTCGATCATGTCCGTGTCCGGCGGTAGAACAAATGACGGTGACGGCGTGACGGAAAGAAATTGCGAGGCTGCGAAGTAATGAAATGTACTACAAGGATATCACTTTGCTGATGTATGTATAACGATATAATGGGTAACTAATTCTCCTTACATCGCGTGGTATCTTCGGCGTGGGGCAGCTCAGTTGTTTCCTCCGTCGGGTGAGATTGTTGTTCACCGGCACTAGTAGCATGTTCCATATGAATGCCGGTTGAAGCAACTGGATCAATACCAATCGCACACACAGCCTCGACGCCTAGTGTGTCTTCCACGGTGTCTGGCGCCTTGGATCTTGAGCGGCAACTTCCTCAGTTGTGAGGGGTGCGCTGTCCGTGGGGGTGGTGTGCGCTGTGTCAGAACCGGTGAGTCAGCAATCCAAGACTGGGCCTGATCTGCTGCATCATGACGCACAGGAGGTACGTAGGGCACAATTTGCATGCATGGGCCGGCTCACTTGCGTGGGATCGTTAGGGTGATCTGTGTGTTGATCAAGCAAACTCGGTTTAGCGACGCACCCATGCTGCTGCAGCTGCTATTGCTGCTGCTCATCCTCTTCATTGGGATTGGTTTCGGCGCCGGTGGGTTGCACGTTGCTTTGCCTCCGGTTGACTTCTTGGCATCGGGCGGGCTGAGGCACAATGGGTTGGGGTGCTGCTGCTCTGTTTGCTTGTGGCGCATCAATTACACGCTGACATAGCATATGCTGCTTGTCAACAACTATCCTGAAATGGCGCTCGATCTCCACTGCACTCTCTTTCGCCTGCCTGTCGTACTCGGCAATGGATTCTTGCAAGCTACTCCTCTGTTCATTAGGCAACCCACCTAGGTGTGGCCAGATGATGGCAGACATATTTGGGAAGGTGTACGCCGGCGCCCTGATGGCTTCAACCATTGGCCCCTTCCCCTTGCCGGGTTGCTTGATAGCATAGCAAGTGCTCTCCAACGGTCGCAGCTGTGAGGTACAAACAGCGCGTTAGTAAAAAAAAATGTATATGCAGGATTACCAACGAATATACGATAATAGGGGTGCATTGAAAGCTATATAGAAATGAAAATGCAAGTGCATTGTTCAGGAGCCCTCATGATAACTTTATGATTGGGTTTTAGTGTACAAATTTAGTGATCATTAAAAATACCCGCGTACGCCGGCCCCAGTGTATGTGAGCACATGAATTTTTATTAATGGAAAGGAAAATGGGGAAGAAGGAATGTGAAACACTTACAGGGAGGTTGCAAAACGGGGGCGTGCCATCCCCTCCAGCTTCCTGATCCGCACTAACCAGCCGATCGACAATCTCCTTAGTATACACGTGTATACGAGGGGTGAACACTAGATCGAGACCAACGTCTGTTGGTGGGAGTATGTTGTCAAGATATAATAACTGTGCAGGAAGGTAGAATGTTAGTGAGCATTGCATCATATCCAGTAAACCGGCAGCAGGCAATAAAGCGTCATTTTGCGAGTAAGAATTTGGGCCAAACAAAGTATAAATGAGAAAAAGGGCTTACCACCGGTAAGACGACGCACGAGGCTATTGACGATGTCGGGTTCTGACGCCAACACCTGATGTTGTCACTCAAAGCTCGGAACATAGCCGTAGACAAGTCAATGGCAGCGACCCGGTCGAGATCGGCGGCAAGCCAGACATCACTCTTGGGGACAAAAAAGTCAGTTCTTGGAAGTAGGAGCTTGAAACATCACGGATAACTCTTATCCGTGACGGGTCTTAACTATGACCCGTCATAGATGAGTTTGGGTCTTTTATTTAGGCCCGATAAGGATGACGGTCGTCCGTGATGGTGGCTGACCCGACACATATGACTTTTCACATTAATAACCTTTGGTTCGTGACAGTACCCCTCGCCGACACAGATAAGGCTTCCCGCCTATTACAGATGAGCTATCCTGAGCTAGTGAACCAATCTGAACTGTTGTGACTACTACAAAAAATAGTTTTCGCTGGCGGCCAGCTGGCCAGAGGTGCTGCCAGTGAGTTGTCACGCCCGGAATTTCTATCCAAAATTCTAAACGCTTACATGTATGTAAACCCTCGTCCAGGAATCAGCCGAGGCACACAATAACAAATTGATAATAGAGTACAATTATTACTCTAATTAATAAGCGAATAAAATGTCATTACAGAGGTAGATAGTTCCTCTCAATCAATAAAGTTCTGAGCAGCGGAAAATAAAAGAAACAGCGCAGGCGACTCCTCTTCACAGGTAGCTTGACCAGGGCTACACCTAATCATCCACACCATTAGCATCACTGTAGAACTCCTCCTCTGATGAATGATTGCAAGGTGAGTATATGACATACTCAGCAAGCCACGCAGCAAATATGCAAGTGCACAGGATAACAAAGGATGGCATAGTATAGTCTCATTTGCATAAACAGCATTTAATAAGCAATTGAGAAAATAGTAAAACAGTTGAGTAATTAAACAATATTAAATCAACACTATACAACACACCCGTGTTGCATAGGCCCAACCATTCTGAACAACCAATCCCGGCTGCACAGTTCTATCTCCAAACCAGGAATATACCATTCCAAACCAGGAGCTAAACAAGTTATTACCAATTACAACATTATTTATTACGGTGAGAGGTGTGAAACTAATCACGAAAGACATTGTTAGACCCGCCCATAACCGCGGGTACGGCTATTCGAATAGTTTAAACTCTAGCCAGAGGTGTACCACTGTACCCACAAGACACAACCTCAACATCATGTCAACCATGCGTCGCGATACTTAACAAGTACCCGAATAGAGATTGTGACAATACCTCCTGCATAACACAATTCAAAGCAGTGCACCGTTCCCGGATCATAATCACCCCCTTATAAACAAGGTATGGACTCCCCAGCGACCCCGGTGGGCTTATCTCCGCCACTTCACAGTCTGGTGCTCTACTATGAACCATACTATACAGAAAGTAAAGCCGTTGCCCACGCTGGTTTGTGGATGGCACGGTAAATGTTTCACAACCGAAAATCGTGAACCGGTCCTTAATTGTCATGAGCACAACCATCAAAACCATATGCTCACAACCCACCATTATCAGGTTTTAGTTGGCAAATTAATTACTTAACCAATCATGATTAACCATCATGAGCTATCATTAAGCCATCATTAAATAATAGTGAAGCATAAGTTATCCCACTAGTGTGCAATTATATCTAATATCTAGCTGAACCAATGTATAAAGCTCAACTAGTCAAGTTATAATAACCCAAGGTATCAAAGAATAGGGTAATCAAGAACAAAAAGGGCTATAACAAAACAATAGGTTATTTCCACCCAATGACATTCAAAAATAAATGCAGTAGTTGAATAAAAACAATAGCTTTAAACATGATCAACATGCTCAAAGGGTTGTTTGGGATCTGTGTGACTTGCCTTGCTGGCCTTGAAACTCTTCAAAATCTTCCCCTGTAAAATCGGACTCTCCGGGAACGTCGGAATCTAAAGAGAAAAGAACAAAATCACCAAAACAACACTTAAACAAGCATGAACAGTACATGTGGATATTTTTAACATGTAGATCTCAATTTTAGAAAAATTTAGAGACTTGAACCAACAAAATCCGAGCTAAGATAAATTAGTTATGAATTTTCAAAGATTAAATCGGATTAAATCATTTATATGGATTTTAATTGAATTATGACGCAATAATGAATTATTTTTGAAAAGGAAAAAGAGATTATTGCGTCAGCGGCTAGGGTTCACGGCGGCGGCTCACGGAAACGAACGGCCGGGATCGATCTATCCAAATCAGACGGCCGAGATCTAAACGGTCTACGACCGGTCTACGGCGGATGGCGTCGATGATGTCAGCGGTGACGTCATCACCGGCGACGGCTCGGACGGCGCATGCTCGCCGGCGAACGACGGCGCGGCGGCGCGAACGGACGGCACCTACGGGTTGCGGGCGACACGGCGAACTCACCGGTGACCAAAGTAGCGGCGGAAGATCAACGGACGGCGACGGCGTCGAGGAAGAAGCGGCGGCGTCCTTCGGCTTGACGACGACGGCGGTGCTTCGGCGACCTACAGAGACGACGGAGGGGTGGACGAGGTCGGCGACGACTTGACGATCACGATGGCGGCCTTCCCGAGCGACGACGACGACCGGAGCGGCGACGGCGCAAGGCTGGACGAACTGCGGCAACGGCGGCGCTAGGCTACACGGCGCTAGAGCTCTACCGGCGGCGAGAGACGAAGGCGAGGGTGGCGGCGGGTAGAGGAGACACCGGGGGTCCTTTTATAGGGGCTAGGGGGCCGCGGCGAAGGCCCACGGCGGCCGGCGGCGGTGATGGAAAGGTTAGGGTTCGGAGAGAGAGAGGAATCCGATTCGAGATCGAATCCACCGATTTCCAAACGATTTAGCCGACGATTCCAAAAGTGAAAAGATAGAGGAGATCTCGGGGATCATTTCCCCTCTATTAATTTCACCGGAAAAGGAAAGGGATGAACGAATTTGGAACGAGACGGCGGCGCGGCTCGGTTAGGGTTCGGGCGTGGCAGCTGCGCGAGGAAGACGAAGACTGACAGGTGGGCCCCACCTGTCAGCGAGCGGGACGCGCGCGCGCGGGCGGCGCTCGGCTGCGGGCTGACCTGGGCCGGGGAGGAGAGAGAGAGGTTTGGGCCGACTTTCGGCCCAAAGCCAAAAGAGAGATTTTTAAAACTTTTTCATTTAAATTATTCATGAAGTGCAATTCCATTTATTAAAAATACTTCCTTAGCTCAAATAAATCCCAGAAAAATCTAGGAACTATAGAATCAAGCAAAGTATTTAATAAAATTTTATGAAGCCCAATTTTATATTGGAATTTATTATTTAAAATTAGATCTTCTCTTCTAGGCTTTTAAAATTCATTTCTAATAATTCTAATTAAACAACAATTTATATATTTAAGATTTTTATGGTGCGACATGAGTAAAGTCCAGTGAGAATATTGTGTTTTCGCTGGCGGGTGGCTCGTCGCCAGCCAAAATCGAGTTTCGCAAGTGGATATGCTAAGACAACCGCTAGCAAAAATACCATTTTTGCAAGCGGCTAGATAAAATGGACCGCCAGTGAAAACAATTTTGGGTATAAAAAAATTTCAAAATCGGTGCCGCCGGCCGCCACAGCCGGAAGCACCGCCGGCTGCCGTCGCGACACCTCACCATGGCCGCCGCCTACCGAAGCCCGCACCACGGTATTCCAAACCGTAGAGGGGAGGGGGTTGGAATAGCCTTGCCATCGTTATCGTGGTTGCCGTCCTCGGCGCGGTAGACATCGTTGTCATTGTGGCAGCCGCCGCCGGATCCACCTCCTTCACGGTTGTGAAGGACAGCCCGAGCAACGCCGCCACCGGATCCGCACCCACCCTCCTGTCACCGTCGCTGCCCTCCCCGCCGGCCTCCCCCATTGTCGCGGCGGCTGATTCGGCGTCCACGGTCACTGCGGCGGCTGATCCGGTCTCCCCGTCGCCGCGGTGGTGGATCTGGCCACCCCCATCGTCACGGCGGTGGATCCAGCCTCCCCCGTTGTCGTGGCGGCCAGCAGCGAAGGAAGGCCGGTGGGAGACCGGGGGGGGGGGGGGAGGGAGAGGAGGCGTGGGCCATCGCAGTTTGCCGGCCGCCTGTCACCGCGCCGCTGCTGAGCCACCCCCTCCCCTGCACCGCTGCAGCCGAGCACCGCCACCCCGTGCCGCAGCCGAGCCACCCCCTCCCCCGCCGCCCCGTGCCGCCGAGTGCTGCCGTCGGGGCCGCCGCCGCTGCCTACGTGAGCCGCCGCTGCCGGTGGGGTGGGAGGAGGAGAGGAGAGTAGTGGATGGATTTGGATGGAGAGGAACCAGAAAAAAAGGAGGAGGAGGAGAAGCGAGTGGATGGATAAGGAGGTGGGCGGCAATTTTTTTTAAGGGAAACGCGCACGGTGATTTTTTTTAATGTGCGGGGATTTTTTTTAAGGACGATGCTGCCTAGTAACCGCCAGCGAAAATCAGTATTTTGACTGGCTGTCTTTTAAGAGATCGCTTGTAAAAACATAGGTATTTTTTCAAGCGGACTTTAAGCAAACGCTAGCGACAATTCATTTTCACTGGCGGTCCTAAACTCTCCATCTCTTAGTTACAATTTCACAAGCAGATTTCTTATATAACCGCCAGTAAAACAAATAGAGTACCGCCATGAAAAATATTTTTTCTAGTAGTGCGTGGCACATTTCAAGGATTCGGCCGCGTCCAGTTATAAAGTTTGTTGATGACAAGAAGTTGTACGTTGGTCAGAAACCTGCATTAGCTTGCAAATACCCAATCCTGATGTTCTCATGGATCGCTACTGTTGTGCTCGAGTGGGCTCTAATGCTACTGATATGTTTACATATATGTACCTATACTAACATGATATTTACTAGATGCTTCCAAGTTAATAAAAATATCTAGCCAATTATTAGCTGGATATGTTATACTATCATATCCATTGATCACTAAATCTATGTGTGTTTGTTATAGACAATACTAAAATCTGTCTATCCTACCCCACTT